AGCGGGTGAACCGGTCGACGATGGTCAATAGGTAGGCGTGGCCGTCACTGGGCGGCAGAGGCCCTACGATGTTCACGTACACGTGGACGACCCGATCACTGGGCGGGGCGAACACGCCTACAGGCGAGTGTGTGTGTCTCTGCACCTTCGCACGTTGGCACGTCTGACAAGTTTGGGTCCACCTCTGCGAATCTCTCTTGACAGAGGGCCACATGAACCGGCTGGTGACGAGCTGGACGGGGGCTCGCACCCCTGGGTGCAACAGGTCGTGCACGCGCCGTAAGTAGGCATGGCGCAGCGGCTCTGGGATTCACGGGCGCGTTGTGCCGTTGGAGTCATCCACTATGAGCGTCCGACCACCGGGCAGGCAGGCGTCACGCAGCTGTAAACCGTGTTCGGAGACGCCGAACCGGACGAGCTCGTCGCAGGTGTGAGAAACACGCTGTAGGCGCGGGACAGCACGTCAGCGGCGACGGTCATCTTGCCCGGCACGTGGCGGATGTCGGTGGTGAACTGGGAGATGAAGTCGATGTGCCGGGCCTCGCGCGGTGAGTGCCGGTCGCTGTTGCACGAGATGGCATGGGTCAGCGACTTATGGTCGGTGAACACGATCAGTGGCCGCCCCTCGACGGCATACCGGAAGTCACGGATGGCGAGGTAGATTGCCAGCAGCTCACGACCGAAGGTGCTGTAGCGCCTCTCGGGCTTGCGCAGGGAGCGAGAGAAGAACCCGAGGGGCTGTCAGCGTCCCCGGACGTGCTGTTGCAGCACTGCGCCGACGCCCTGGTCCGTGGCATCGACTTGGAAGCTGACAGGCGCGTCAGGCGCCGGGTGAAGGAGCAAACCGAGTCTGCGAGCGCCGTTTTACAGCGGGCGAACGCCTCCTTAGCCCCTGTAGTCCAGGTCACCTCCAGCTCACGTCGCAACCCGGCCTTAGACGTGATCAGCGCGTGGAGTGGGGCGAGCTGCTCGGCCGCCGACGGGATGAGACGATGGTAGAAGTTAAGCATCCCGATGAATCGGCGGAGCTGGCGTTCCGTCCGGGGCAGCGTGAAGTCGCGAATGGCGGCCACTCTGGACGGCAGCGGAGTGATGCCTTCCGGCGTGATGAGGTGTCCCAAGAACTCCAGGTGAGGCGCCTTCGGGACGCACTTGGGCCGGTTGACCACAATGCCGTAGTCGTTGAGACGGGAGAAGACGTCCCGGAGTCGGCGCTCATGGTCGGTCAGGGTGGCGCTGGCTACCAGGATGTCGTCTATGTACACGAAGACGCCGGTTAGTCCGGGGGGGGGGACCTCATCCACCAGACGTTGACATGTTTGGGCAGCATTACGAAGCGCGAACGGCACACGTGTTGCCTCATATAAACAGAATGAGGTGATGATGGCTGTTTTGTTAACGTGGGTCGGCTCGACTGGAATTTGGTGAAAGGCTCGGGAGAGGTCCAGCTTTGAAAATAAACCGCAACCGTGTAGGTCTGCAGCGAAGTCCTGGGGGTGTGGCACAGGGCAACGACCCGGGATGGTGACTACGTTAAGGGACTGCTAGTGCAGACATGAAGCAGCCGCCGCCCCAGGAGAATGGCGCCTGAGAGTTGGGGCGCAGGTACGGTCAGGCCAGGTCGTTTCCCGCCCAGGAACAGGGGGCCTGGTACTTCTTGGCTTGAGCGCCAAACCATGCGTGTAATAAGAGGCCACACCCCTCGGACGGGATGGTGACCTCTCCTGGCGGTGGTAGCTGGGTCGCCCACGGCTCTGGCTGCAACAGCGGCTGCAGGGAAGGGTTGACCTGTCCTGGCCGTGGCCCCTCTCCTGATGCATGGAGCGGACAGCATGGAGCAGGGAGCTCCAGATGGAGCTCGCTGATGGTGACAGTCAGGCTAACTACAGTGGCCAACAGCTCAGTCACTGGGGCTGGTGTGGGTGGTGTGAGCGGTACTGGCTGCTGGATGCCAGACAGGCTGGCTGGCTGGTACACCGGCCTTGATGCCTCCACGAAGCGGTCAGCCGCTCGCACCCGGTCCTCCGTGGCATTGTTTCGTCCAGCGTGGAGAAAGTAGCAGCGGCTTTTTAAGGCAGGTACTGGAGGAAAAGCGTTCTCAGCAGGCCCTTCTGGGCGTTAGCAGCTGCTGACATTTCACCGTGCATCCGTCTCAGGAGTTGGAATGGGAGCTGGTTTCTCCCAGGTGCTGATTTCGCAGGAGCGCCTCCAGGCGGGGCTTCCTGGAGTGCACCAAGCGTTGGCGCAGTGCAGATGTCAGCAGCGCGTATGTGGGTGCTGGGCTGGTGATGACGTATTGTACTTGGGCCGTCACGTCCGTAGGCAGCGACGACGCCAGCACCTGGTAACGGACCAGGTCATCCACCACCCCTGCGACACCGAGGGTGCAGTCCACTTGGGCCAGTCCGAGCTCCGCGTCCTAGGCGGAGAACGGCGGCAGGCGGAGCGCGGTCACCTGCCGGGCTGCGGGGTATGGGGCCCGCCGGCGGCGGGGAGGCCGGCTGCAGTTGGTGTCGGTGAGCTGCCGGAGCCACCGGGTGCGGGAGACGTGCCGTCCGGGTTCATCACCCCAAAGTAGCGGGTGCGTCATCGAACGTCGCAAAGTGTCGCGAGTCGCGTCACTCATTGTTTGGCGATAAGGACACACTGCGGCACCGATCAACTTGACGTGTACGCTCGGGATCACCGCTGTTGTGCGTATAGGCACTAACACTGAAACGAGTATCTTTACAGCAAAGGTTTATCTGAGAGGCACTGGCAAAGCGAGTGACTGGACCGTCGTTTGCGAGTGCCGCGGCGTGAGAGGGAACGGATGAAGGCAGAGCTGGCCTACTGCCGTTGAGGAAAGGCATATAAGACATTCTGAAACAACTCGCCAAATGAAAGGTTTTTACGGGGTGGAACTAGTTCTGTCGGCGTGAAGAAATACATTAAACCGTAGGAAGTGATTGTAGGCAGCAGCTGGCGGAGTTAACGTGATAATCGCTAGTGAAACCTGATACTGCATAAGGCACGGTGACATGTAGCAAAGTGGGCGGCAGGCGCATTTTCAGTGACGCCGCCTGTAACTTTCATGACGCCACCTACGGCAGTGGCGCTGCCCCATGCCCACCGTCTACAATGTGATGAACGTAACAAACCATGGGATCGAGGAGACGGATGAACTGCGGTTGACAGGAAGGGGCATAGCTGGGCGCCGAGCCCGTTTCCCTCTTTGACCACAGGGCCGTCTCAAGTTGGTCTCAAGCCAACTGTCGTGACGCGGCCGCCTGCGCGCCGCGCCTGCTCGCCCCAGGTGAGCTGGATCAGGGTGGATCCAGGATTCCGTGAAGGGGGGAGGGGGGGGGGTACGTAACATAGTGGGGCCCCTTGGAGTTTGGGGCCCCCCCAAAAAATATCCTTGCATTTCGGTCATTACATTTTAAGACAAGTCGTATGTAATATATATTTATATACATTTATCTATTATGTACGTATGGATGTATTAACATCTTTATTTATTTCATAAATACGCAAATCCATCTTACTGTGAACAGCCCTATAAAGCAAAGGCGTGTTATGCATGCATGCACATAGAGGTCACTCATTTTCTTCAGATCATTATAAACGCTATGATTTTGAGGCTAAGTGTCGCGGAACAAGCAGAATAAATTTGAGTTGGCTGCTAACAACCATCAAAACCATGCATGGACGTGATTCCTCGCTTATTTATTTACGGCTAGTCGGCTGGGCGATGTAATCAGCTGATGGCTGATGACTAATGCGTAATTTTTGCTTTGTTATAAAGGAGTACAACGTATCAAAACATTCAAAATGTTAAGAACATGATGCACTAATCACATGTCACTCAATAGCCGATGGGAATGACTCATACGACGTCGGCGGCATGTAAAATTACGTTTCGCAATCGCGCGTAAAAAATCATCGGCGCATATTCAACTGCCGGCCCAAGACCAACGCACGAAGAGCAACAGGGACGGAACCTGAGCAATCATAGATACCGCAGGAGGCCAACAAAGTGGCTCCTGTCAGCAAGACTAGGGCCTTCAGAGCAAACAAGAGTGCCCCCGTACGCTAACAGGAAGGGCCCCAACAACAGCGCAGGGCCCTCCGAACAAATGCACGGAAATGGACAACGTGGAATGCTCCTTGACGATCATAATGATCCTACAAGTGGGCATATAGATCCCCCGGAAACAGTGTGGGCCCTTAGAGACCGTCTTTCAGTCAGTCTTTCCCCACTCACTGTTTGACAGTGTAATGAAGCTTAAAATTTCCAGTTCGCAACTTTTCCAATCATTGAATAATTTTTTAACTTCACATAGGCCCTTTACTTTTGCTTAGAACTGTTCTTGGTCGCCTGGAAGTGCAGATACCGTTTTGTTGCGCTCTGTTTAAAAAATCGCACCTGTCCGGCCGGCTGTGGCCCCCTCGGAGCCAATGGGCCCCTTCGGGCCCAGAGGGGGAAGGGTCGTAGCTCATGCCCTCCTCTGGATCCACCCCTGAGCTGGATGCCTAGTCGGTAATGTCAAAAATTTCGGCGTCGCTGACCGCCGCCGCCCAATCATGATGGGCCAATATCAGGAGCGCACCCCGAACCAGAACCATGGCTGGTCGTACCGAGACCGACATCGCCCAACCGGCCAACGACCCTCTCCACCGCGACGACATCGGCGCCTCCACGCACCGCCCCAGACCGAGCCCACGGCAGTAAAGAGGTCATGTGAAGATCACCTACCTGCTCACGGCAAGTGTTTGATGTCTTCGGCGTATTGGATACAGGTCTTGCGCGTGCGCTTTTGCGGCGATGGTTCCTACACCCGCTTTTGACCTCAGGTGGTGGCCGCTGTAGCTCCACTGCTTGAAAAACGCGGTCTCCGATCCATTGCTTCAGGGGGGTACGCGGGATTTCGCAGGGGAGGGAGGGGGTACAGCCAGCAAGCCTTTCACCGAACACGCAGGCTACCACGCTGCAGGCAGGCGAAGTGGAAAAAGCACCATACGTTCTCGATCTATTTATTTTTAGGTGTCTTCCCGATTTTTTCATAGTTGGCGTTCACTGGCATCAACATAAAGAATCACGTGTCAGCATAAGGAATTATTGGCGTATACATTAAAGCACCGGGTCAGCGCGCGTTCGCATCGACTGGCGGGGCCGCGCCCAGCGCCGTCCACCCCACCGGCTGGTCACCGCGACCGCCACACGGTCGGCGGGGTCACGGGTCGTTCAGGCGCTACCTGAAGCGAAGCTCGGCCGGATACGCCGGCTGTGTGCGCGTGTCGCCAACCGACACGACAGTGCGTCGCACATCAGTAAGCTGGACCGGCAAAAAACCCTCATAGAAAAGGCCACAAGCGCTACCAAGGCCAGCCCATCGTACAGCGCACACACAGCAAAATGAAACGTCAATCGACCGTCACCAACGACAGATTCAAACTACTCGAATACTGATACGTATACTGGTGAGTAAACATGCTTGTTGGACCACGGACGTGCTCGGAGCGGCCGACTCCAGGGCTACATCCCCCACAGGGTAGATGTCTGGCGCGAGCCCAGACACACACGGTGCGGTATCGGCAGAGGGCCTACCGCATGGTGACCAGCTCCTCCGCTGATGTCGGGTGGATGGCCACGCAGTCGTCGAACTGGGCCTTAGTGGCGCCCATCTTGACGGCCACGGCGAAGCCCTGCAGGATCTCGTCGACGGCGTGACCGACCATGTGCAGGCCGACCACGCGCTCGTCAGCGCCGGCGCACACCAGCTTCATGTGCGTCTTCACCTTGTGTTCACTAAGGGCGAACTCAAGCGGCGTGAACACGGACGAGTAGACGCGTACCTGGGCGTCGCCGAACTGGTCCCGGGCCTCGCGCTCGGTCAGGCCCACCGAGCCGCTCGGAGGGTGCGAGAACACCACCGACGGGATGTTTTCGTAGTCGAGCTTAAGCTCCGGCTGCTTGTTGAAGAGCCGATGGGCCAGGCGGCGCCCGGCGGCGATGGCGACCGGGGTGAGCAGAGCTCGGCCGCACACGTCTCCCAGTGCGTACACGCCCGGGGCCTGACGTGTTCTGAAAGGCATCCACCCTGATGTGGCCCTTCTCCAGCTGCACACCAGCCTTTTCCAGGCCGATCTCTACGTTGGGAACGCGTCCAATGGCAAACAGGAGGCAGTCAATGTTGGTGAAGGCCTGGCCACTCTTGGTGGCCACTGAGAGAGTGCCTTGCTCATCCTTGGTTGCCCCAGCAAAGCCATCATTCTTCAGGAGGTTGATCCCAATGTTCTGGAGCTGCTGTGTCACAACTTCACTGATCATGCTGTCAAAGGTCCTTAGAACCTGGTCATGACGGATGAGCATGGTGACATCAGAGCCAAGGGTTTTCAGAATCCCTGCCATCTCCACTGCTATGTATCCAGCACCAACAACAAAGGCACGCTTTGGCAACTTCTCTAGCTCAAAGAATCCATCACTGTCAATCCCATGCTCTGCACCTTCGACACCAGGAGCTGACGGCCTACCACCAGTGGCAATCAAGACATGCTCACCTTCATACAGCTGTCCATCTACCTGGACAGTTCTTTCACCAACGAAAGTCGCTTTTCCATTGATGAGCTTGACCTTAGACTTGAGCAAGTTGTTTTCATATATGCCATTCAACCTCTTGATGTATGCATCCCTGTTCTTTTTCACAGCAGGCCAGTCAAATGGGGTCGGTTCTACATTGAAACCATAATGCTTGTGATGCTGTAGTGCATCAGCATGTGACGCAGCATTGAACATTATTTTTTTGGGAACGCATCCCACATTCACACACGTTCCTCCCAGAGCAGAGTTCTCAACAAGTCCCACCTTTACGCCAAATTCAGCGGCCCGCCGTGCACTTGCGATGCCACCAGATCCTCCTCCAATCACCAGATAGTCAAATTTATGAATAGTAGGGGCCATGCTTGCAAATCCTCTTCGGATGTACGTACATGCAATGTTGGTGACCACCGCCAGGTGTCCGTACCTGCCCATGTAACAGCCCTTCATCATATTTCGACGTAATGATAGTTCAAGGTGCGTTTAATAGCGTGCTAACTAAAGCTGCTCAAATCAACTGACTCGGACGTCGCTGAAAATGTTCAAGTTTGATTCGTGGCCTAACACATATTTTCAGAAACAAGACAGCAAACAAAATAAACATATTGCACAAAATTTCTCCTTTGACACTAATGTAAGCCTTTTTCATGAACATATTCGTAAACAATCACGTTAAAGCACACTGGACTCGTTACTCCCTATCTTCTGCTCTGACAATTTTTTAGCAAGGCACATACTTTTGAGATATTGAAACTAGTACCTCTGATGATCAACAAATAGCTGATATTCATAGACATAAAATGGATTATCATTACCACGTCATAGCTTCCATCAAACCATGGCGTGAGGGCGAGGGGCTCTGTGGGTGCTACTGCCACCCCAATTTCTGAGAACACTGAATATTAGCCTATGGTGGTGCGTGTAATAGATTGTCATTCTCACCTTTCCAGACATACTTAATCCTTTGCATCATAACACTCTGCAAGTTATTCCTTTATTGGACCTACCAAAAAAGAACGAGATCGTGCCGTGCATTTTATTGCGAGGTTTTGCGTACCGCAGTGTGCTCAACTTGAGTTTGGAAAGAGAAAATGAAAACTAAGTTTCACTTAATCTTTCCAGAATTTCGTTTGCAGAATATGTGTGCGTTGCATCCTGGATCAACAATATCAAAAGCCGCTCTGGCAGTAGATGAATACAGCCAATTCTATGGAAGTTTGTGGCGCACTTGCTACAAATGACTGGTGCAAATATTCCGCTCCGTCCGACTCTGCAATCGAGGCGGTTTCTCCATAGCGGTAGTCGTTGGCGTGATCTGTGCTGTACAGATATTACCAGGGGATTGTTAACCAGGCTCATTGAACAACACTTCAAGCCTCTATTATTTATAGAAAGATGGAGGAAATTGGTTTGTCCGTCTCTCCTGAAAAGGTAAAAGAAGTAGCGGCTTGGGATGCTCAAAGTGGACGTCACTTACATTTGAGGTTTCGAAAACAAAAGACTAAGTCGCATCTACTTGGAGAAAACTGATGTTCAGTAGACAATGCGAATGAATGACATTTGTTAAGCAGGCAGCGAAATCAGTAGCTTCAAGCTTCAAGCACAATGTAGCAGGTATCAGGCATGCATACCAGGATGTCAGGACTACCTATGCAGATTCTGCACATATTGGATTGACTCCAACATGTGTGCAAAGAAATTGATAAGCATCAGTTAAAACTACCCTATATGAAAATTATGTGTTCTTGCTGCAAAAAAGTATGAAGTGTCCACAATGAGTTACCATTGTCACTTTTCAGACCCTTTGTCCATACAACTTACAATACTTTATGGGTTTTAACCCAGTTTTTGTCCAAATTATTTATGTCAAGGTGACATGTGGTAAATTTTGCAGATTAAATTGTGGGGATAGCTGTTGTTTGGTTTGATTGCATGGATGCTTGTGCACCCACCAGTTGATAATGCTTCAGGTCTCTGATGACACTTATCATAAATGTGTTTTAGCCTTGTTGAGGTTATACCTGTTATGCTTAGATGATATAAACAATTTACAATGTGAATCATATAATATAATGCTAAGTGTGTATCTTGATGTGTTACCCATGCCAGATTTATCTGTAGTAGTAAACACTAGGTGTAGTTTCCTGTTCAGTTGGAAGGGAGCTGAAGCCCAACCCCTTCTCAACTTGGGCTCTAGTGACCCAACTTGTGGAAGAAAGTGGGCAAAGTATGGGGAGAAACCTTTGTATTGGCATGTTTTGTTATCAGGCTGGTGATTTTCCATTGTTCAACCTCCCAGCTTATTTTCTGGAAACATGACCATGAGTAAAAATGTTTCTTCTTTGTCAAACAGCTAATTAAAAACAGCCATCAATTAAAACTTACATCATGACACATTTGTTACAGGTTGATGATTCAGTGGGCGAAACAAAGACTGCTTTGAATCTTGCTTCCAATTTGTATGGAAATTTGGACTCAGATGACCTGTACACAAAATACAAGGTAAGATACTATAACTGATCATGTCTATAATATACATATGTGATTCAAATTATGAAGTGGCAAAACAGTTTAAAGTTGGTTATGCTTGATTTTTTGCACAAAATGCATGTGGTTCTCATGTCCATCCAATTTACTATTGCAGTGCTGGAGTTTCAGACACACATCCTTCCATATCACTGTACATTCTCAGAAGAACATGTCTTCATCAGCATCCTGGATTGCCTGCATTCCAGCACCATCTAGTACAGAACCACATTTCACACAAGAGATGACACCACTTAATTACATTTCACAGCTTATGGCAACAGGTTCCCCTTCTGCAAAAGTTTCGCTGCATTATGTTGCAACACTATGCTTCGACCAAATGCACCAAACATGTCATTTACAAACTGTCTACAGACTGCAGTGGTCCGGCACTCAGCGCACACCCCTTCCTTGAGTAGGACAAGGAGTTGCTGGTTGAGACGAGATGGATGGAGGAGGATCACTCACGACCCCATCTCACTCCTGTGCAGGGTACCAGGTTTCGTCCTCCGCTTCCACCAGCTTCAGCTGATATCAGCTGGCTGCTGCCAGTCAACGCACATGGACTTTTTGCCCGTCCGACAGTCTGAAGCTCAGCGGTGCCAGCTTCTCCGCGATGCGGAGAGGACCGAACCGCCATTTCCAGCCGAGCGGAGTCCTAATGCGCATCACGTCGCCCAGCTTCCATTTCGACAGCTCTCCTGTGCGTTTGTTGGCATCTGGCAGATACCGGTCTTAGTACAAATGGAAATGGGACCCGAACTGCTAGTCACTCAAGCGAAGGTCATCGCCAGCCCCGCTCGCGCCCAGTTTGGTGCGCACGTCCTGCCCACGCATCACCTTGAAGGGCGACATCCCAGTCGCTGGATGGACTGTAGCTGATACGTGTGCAGGAATTCCCTGACATATGAGACTCGAGCCCGTCCTTTGATTGGGGCAGACTCGACCGCAGCCTTACCCGTGCGGTGGAACCGCTCCACTAGCCTGCAGGTTTGAGGCCACTGGGGTGAGCCGTGGGTCGGCTTGATCCCTTGAATCCCGCAGAAACCCTGGAACTGCCGCGAGGTGAACACCGATCCATCGTCGCACAGCACTTCCTGGGGGATGCTTTCTCTCCTGATCACCGACTAGAAACTCAACCACTGCGGACGTCACTTCAGGCCTGAACGCCATCTCCGTCCAGCGACTAAACGCATCCACCAGCACGAGCCCAAAGTGCTGGATTGTTGGTCCCTTCAGTGGTCCGCAGGCATCACTGACCGCTTTAAGTCCGTGGGTTCGCTGGCATCGGTACCCGCTGAACGGGAGGTCTGCAACGCTTGGCAAATGTACTGTGCACGCTGCACAGAGCACGGTTCCGCAGCAGTGGCTCGACCGACCCATCCACCCCTGGCCACCAGAAACGCTCCCGGAGACGCTGTTTGGTCCGCGCTACACCAGGGTGCGTCCCATGCGCCAGCTTCAGTAGCCGGGCAAGCAGGTCCATCGGGGCGATGCATCTATCACCCCTAAAAAGGAGTTCACCATGACTTGACAGCTCAGCACGCACCTGATAGAACGGCCACGTTGTCGAATCAGCCTGTCGCTTCTCCGTTCCACCGCCCTGCCTGCACGAGCACGCGCTAGCGCAGCGTCGGAGGCCGACGCCTGGTGCAGCTTACTCTCGGACATGACACTGGTCTGATCTGTTGAGGCAACAGCTACCTCAACTGCATCATCATCCCTCCAGTGGCTATGTTTCACGGGCGTGCGCCATAGGCCGACAGCCACTGGGTTTTGTTTGTGCGGATGTGCACAACTTCGAAGGAACAGTCGATGAGACGTGCTTCCCAACGAGCAATCCTCCTGCCGGCTCTGTGGGAGCCCTTCAGGCCGAACACACTCGTGAGCACCTGGTTATCAGTGCGGAGGACAAAATGCTTGCCCCACAGGAACAGGTGCCACTTCTCAACCACATACACACATCCCAGGGCCTCTTTCTCTATTGGTGAGTAATTTAATTGTGCCTGGGTGAACTTTTTAGAGGTATATGCCACTACCACCTCTTCTCCGTCAGGTCTGAACGGGCTGAGATCGGCTCCGCAGCCAACACCACGCATGCATTTCTAGTTACAACAGTCCGGAGCGAGGGATCATACAGTCCGGAGCGAGGGATCATACACTCCGGAGCGAGGGATCATACAGTCCGGAGCGATGGATCATACAGTCCGGAGCGAGGGATCATACAATCCGGAGCGAGGGATCACACAGAGCAAGACTGTCCGCCCTAACTATATCCTCTTTGAGCTGTTTTACTGCTCTGTTCTGTGGTTTTTTCACTCCCAGACCTCAGCTGTCAGCATTTCCATCGGCACTGCACTTTTCTCTGTGAGGTGAGACACTTGGGATGGAAGCCCAGCGAGCCGAGGAGAGAGCGCAGCGCCTTCTGATGCTTTGGATCTGGCATCTCCAGAAGCGACCGAACTCGCTTTGGATCCACCTCCAGCTTACCAGATGGCACTTCCAGCCCCAGAAAGTTGATCGTGGACTGGCACCCGCACGTCTCCTCGGTGACCCGCACTCTATGGAGTGGGAAAAGCGCATCCACCTGGTTCAGAGTCCAGTCATGTTCTGCTTTCGTGGCCCCATACACGGCCACATCATCCAGATACACTGTAGCCCCTTGGATGCCCTTCAACATGTCCCCCATGACCATTTGAAAACATGGATCACTAGACGCAAGACCCGTGGACACTTGACAGTGTCGGAACAGACCCTCGTGAGGTATGGAAGTTGTCAGGTTTCTGGAGTCTGGGTGAAGTTCCACTTGATGGTGGGCCTCCTCTGAAGAACAAGAACACGCTCTGGAGAACAAGAGCCACTGGTGAACCCATGCCCACCAAGAACAGCACATGCTTGCCATCCTCAAGGTCCACCCACTTCCTCAGTTTCAGGTTCTGAGAGAGCTTTGGCCTGATTCACATGATGCTGACAGCACGAATTGACCTGGGCCCTTTGCACATACTGGCCAGATGGTTTTTCCTGCCACACTTATGGCAAGTCTGACCCTTTGCTGGGCACACTGAATCATTTGGATAGTGGTCGCCTGCCATGCCACAGCAGGAACACCTTAAATCTGGCCCTGGTTGTCCTCCAGGTTGCCTTGTATGTCCGCCAAGATGTCTGCCAGATTCTCTTCTCTGTTGGATCTGTTTTGAGTGAGCCCCTGCAGCTGGTTGAGTCCTGTTGTACCATTGTCTTGATGCATTTGGCCTTGAAGAAGGCACGGATCCCTGCCTCTACTGTAGATGATTGGCAGTGATCTCTTCCTCGGCTGATGGTGCCACCATGCTGCAAGCCTCCGTCCTTGACGCTGCCAGAACTGAGGCAAGAGTCGGCTTTGAGTCCTGAAATAAACGTTACCTCAGTTTCTCATGTACTGTGGCTTTAATCACTTGATCACGTATAATTTCATCCACCATGTCCGGGAAGGCGCAGTTGGCAGCCAGACCTCGCAGATCAGCAACAGACCAGCAGTGCGTTCCCCTGTCTTTGCCTTCGCTGACGAAACTTGAACCGCTCAGCCATGGGGTTCACGTGTGGTTCGAATTGACCCTCCAGCTTCCTCATTGTGTGTTCAAGCTCGGATTCCGCATCCACGTGCTCGATCTCAGGGATGGTTTGGTAAATTCTCTGGCCTTCTGGCCCCAGACAGTGAAGCAGCACTGCTTTCTGCCGGTCTTCGCTGAAATTCTCACCTCCGATTGCCATCAAGTAGGCATCAAAGGCGGATCTCCACGGCCGGAACGCCGCCTGTGGCCGTCCCTGGTGCGCAAGAAACGCCGGAGGGGGCAGAGATTCCCTCCATTTCAAGGATATCCCTTCCACTTTTTTGCACCAGTACTTGAAGATAGCACCCAACCGAAAATAGCACCCAAGCGTAACAGGAACGATCAGAGTACTAGTTGAAGTGGTTCTTGGACATGAGTCCAATCCTCGTCGCCATGTAGTGCTGGAGCTTTAGACGTAGGTCTTTCCGTGCCACTGTACGTTCCCAGAAGAACATGTCTCCGTCCGCGTTCCGGATTTCCCGCTTTTCAGCACGGTCGCGCACGAAAACACATTTCACACAAGAGTTAACACCACTAAATTACATTTCACATGTTGCGACACAACAATTATAACTAAGCCTGGGCTAAGTTTTTTCCAGTACAATGCGAATCGTTGTGCACTGAGCTGTGCCGGAAGGGCATGCTCTCAGCATGTTGCGTATACAATCAACAGTCATGCATCAGCTTTCATTGCTCATGTACAGCCAGTGTCAGGGTCTTGTGGACACTGTGTTATGCGCAGTCACCACCAGGCCGCCACCTCAGCGCCATCAGCGGCGTGAGCAGCGGCTACCAGATCCTGAGGATGCTATGTTCCAAGCATTCACATGGCTCGGAGCCACAGCTGGTGATGTCACCACGGTGCCTGCCGTCGACAGAAGCTGCAGCAGCAGCTCGAGTTCCTGGCCGTCCAGGAGGAGTACATCAAGGACGAGCAGCGCAACCTGAAGAAGGAGTTTTTGCACGCGCAGGAGGAGGTGAAGCGGATCCAGTCGGTGCCACTGGTCATCGGCCAGTTCCTGGAGGCCGTGGACCAGAACACCGGTATCGTGGGCAGCACCACTGGTGAGCCGCTGCTGGCCCGTCCCCGATTTCGACACTGTATGGGTCACCGGTCGTTCGTTGAAATATGACCTGCGAGGCTGCTGTGGTGTCAAACAACGCGACGTTATTTGTTGTATAATCCAGCCAAAATGTTTGACATATTTCAAAGCCAAATTAGTTCGTTTGTGGCCGTAGTTGTATGTCGGGATGTGGTTTGCAGTCCGTTACTTCGTTCGCGTTTCATTTGCCTGGTCTGGCGCCGCGCACAACTCATGCATGCTTCTAGTCTGTACTGATATCCAGTTTGCGTATCATGCTGTATGTGGTATACTCGATCTACCTACTATACTATACTATACCTACTGTAGCATTTGGCGCAGATCATCACGTCGTCAGCTCCTCGTATTTGCGAACCGGACACTGAAAAAGCGTGGTGCGTCGCCGGGCAGCGGACTGTGACCCCCCCCCCCCCCTCCGTGCGATGCCAGGGTCCAACTTCCACGTGCGGATCCTGTCGACGCTGGACCGCGAGCTGCTGAAGCCCTCCGCCAGCGTGGCACTGCACAAGCACAGCAACGCGCTGGTGGACGTGCTGCCGCCAGAGGCGGACTCCTCCATCTCCATGCTGTCAGCAGGTGAGTGGTGAGCCACAGCACGCGGTCCAGAAGCCGGATGAAAGGCCGGCTGGCCCGGCTCCGCCGCCGCGCCCGCTGCCTCCCCACAGCGCGTCGACCGACGGCCAGACGCGCTCGCTTACGCCCCGAGAGTCGAGTCCCGACCGTGCGGACCAAAGGCTGCGCCTTTTGCAACACTATGATCAGACCGCGCTCTGCGCTCGGCGACTTGGTCGCGCAGCCGTGCGTTACCAGGTCGGCGGCGGGCACGGTGGGAGCAGGACTGCGCTCGCTCGCCGCCGCAGAGCGGCTGGCAGACCGGCCGCGCCGCATCGCCCTCTGACGCCCACCCGCCCGGCCGCGTCCCCCAGACGAGAAGCCGGACGTCTCGTATGCCGACATCGGCGGCATGGATATCCAGAAGCAGGAGATGCGCGAGGCGGTGGAGCTGCCGCTGACCCACTTCGAGCTGTACAAGCAGATCGGCATCGACCCGCCGCGCGGCGTGCTCATGTACGGCCCGCCCGGCTGCGGCAAGACCATGCTGGCCAAGGCCGTGGCCCATCACACAACAGGTGGGGGCGGCGGCCGGCCGCGGGCCGTGCTGCCGGCGCAGACTCTCAGGGCGGGGAGATGACCGCCGGTCTCGGGAGTTGGAAGGAAAACTCGAAAATGCACGCGTTTTCAGGTTGTCAGACTGATACTTACACAAATGGACAATAATGCGCATTTGTATAGTGATGCGAGTATTTTCCTTTCTATCATTTAATGCAATGACATAGGGAAGCTACGCATTTTACCGATCACTGCGTCAACATCAAGCTCCAATTGTTTGAGCCAGCATTGCCTTTACAGAATACGGCCGATTTCAGTGCTAGTTTCATGACTTTCATACCAGACCGCGGCTGCTTTTCCAGCCTTGCGCAGTCGCTCTATGAAGCCTGCTAGTGACACGCTCTCACCATTTGCACCACCTGAGCCATGTCACAGCCGTGTGGTCGGCTCGTCCGCAGCCTCCTTCATCCGCGTGGTAGGCTCCGAGTTCGTGCAGAAGTACCTGGGCGAGGGCCCGCGCATGGTGCGAGACGTGTTCCGGTTGGCCAAGGAGAACTCGCCGGCCATCATCTTCATCGACGAGATTGACGCCATCGCCACCAAGCGGTTCGATGCGCAAACGGGCGCCGACCGCGAGGTGCAGCGCATCCTGCTCGAGCTGCTCAATCAGATGGACGGCTTCGATCAGACCACTAACGTCAAGGTGGGCGGCTGCCGATGCCGGCGGGCTGGCGGCGGGCTGTGGGAGTGCGGGCTGTGGGAGTGCGGGGTGGTGTCAGGAGGAGTTGTCACTGGGACCGTTCCCAGCGAATTGAGGGCGGCGCGAGATGGACGGCTGCCGAGGGGCGGGCGGGCTGTGGGAGTGCGGGGTGGTGTCAGGAGGAGTTGTCACTGGGACCGTTCCCAGCGGATTGAGGGCGGGGCGAGATGGACGGCTGCCGAGGGGCGGGCGGGGTGTAGGAGTGTGGAGTGGTGTCGGAAGCAGTTGTCACTGGTTGCGCTCCCAGCGTATTCAGGGCGGCGCGAGATGGACGGCTGATCGGGGCGGACTCGGGAAGGAGTCTGCGATATTTGTATGCCTCTGCGCTGTCGCAACTGAACGTGATTCCAGTTGTAAGACGATCGTGGAATGAGTTGTGGGTGCATAGCTGCCGTCCGGAATGACTGGTGAACCCCATGCGGCTGGAGCGTCTGCAGCGACGACCGACGATGGGACTTGCGTCACTTGTCAACGAGTGCATACGGTCTTACGCGTCATCTGGTTACCCTGAGCTGGGGGCGTTATCCGTGTGGGCGACCGGCAATGCAGGGCCGTCACGCCACGGCCCGTCCCCAGGTGATCATGGCGACCCGTGATGCCATGTGAGGGCCGTCACGCCACGGCCCGTCCCCAGGTGATCATGGCGACGAATCGTGCCGACACGCTGGACCCGGCCCTCCTGCGGCCCGGGCGGCTCGACCGCAAGATCGAGTTCCCGATGCCGGACCGGCGCCAGAAGAGGCTCATCTTCGCCACCATCACCGGCAAGATGAACCTCAGCGACGAGGTCGACCTCGAGGACTACGTGGCGCGGCCGGACCGCATCAGCGGCGCCGACATCAACGCCATAGTGCAGGAGGTGCGGCGTCCACACCTGCGAAATGGGCGGGGGGGGGGGGGGGGCGGACGACGCCCGGGGTGCAGTCTCAGATTGGAAATGACGATCTATGAATGCTACGTCCTAAGTCGATTGCGCCATGATTTTTTTTTGTCTTTCAGTTTCATTTTGAAACGGATGGAGTTTTCTGTCAGTACGTATGCACGCAACGGGATCCCGGAATGAGCTTTTAAGAGGCCCGCGAGTTTCGCAATTGCTGCCCTAGATCATAACTGTGAATAGAGTAACTGGATCCAGTGGGAATAACTTGAACGAAATTCATGGCTGAATAGGCCATCAATTATAAAACCAGATGGGACCCCGCCACGAGTCGAGGGCAGGGTGTCATCGCGTGTCGGATTTTAAGACATTTTTCTGTGCACCGCTACGGACATGTCGAACTCCGCAAATGTTGGGGGACGAGGGAACTTGTCCCCAGTAGTTTGCCTCGTGCCGTGGTAGGTTCCCTCCCGTGCCCGTGGTAGGTTTGGACTTGTTTTTACCTGGAACCGAGGTTTCCATGTGGTGTACGCCACAACACGGATCAGCACGGTCGGGCTCCCACAGGAGGCCGAGATTCCATTTCGCACGTACCGGCCGTTTTTGACGGCGTCCTTGTGTGGCGCCTGTGCCAGCTGGTGACAGGGACAGACGTGCGGCCCGGCCGCCACACTCAGACCGGCGTCTCACTGACGCGCTGCCGTTTCCAGGCGGGCATGCACGCTGTGCGAGAGAACCGCTACATCGTGCTGCCCAAGGACTTCGAGAAGGGCTACAAGAACAACATCAAGAAGGACGACCAGGAGCACGAGTTTTACAAGTAGCCGTGCGTCCGCGCCCGGCTGCTGGGCCGACGCTGCGGCATACTGTGCTTGTATGCGGGCAGACGATCTATTTGTGTCGGGCGATGTTTCCTTGTCCCGCGCTTAACAAATGAAGGGAACGGAAATACAGCGTCATCGAGTGTCGTGTATTGTCATTAGAAAGGTCCTAGCTAAGGGAGCACAAACGGGCTGACGTGTCTTCCACACAGCGCGCGCCGCTGTTGTTCAGCGAACAGGAGACTCGGTAATATCAGCATTGCATACGTAGAAAGGCATAGCAAGACATAGGGAGAAAGCCAACAGCGAGGGCCATGCTCGGATTCATGGACCACGACTACAGTTCATGCGAGGCGCCGACTCGTGTTTCGGGGAGGGGGGGGGGGGGGGAGGCGTCGATCCCGCGAAAAGCGGGGGCGTCACCTGAGCGCTGTTGTACGGTCGGTCACTTCGATCGACACACCGCGTTCGGCGCACGGCCTTCCCGGGCTGAAAGCTGAAACAGCAGTTCGAGGGAAACAGCGGAATATCAGTCATCGCCCGCCGCCGCGGCACGGTCCGCAACACGTGACGGCCATCCCCATCCGCGAGGCCTGGCCTGGGGAGGAGACCAGCCAGACATGCTCCGGAGGGGAGACCCGCGAGGTCTCATCCGTGGAGAGGGACCGGGGAGGTCTGGTCTGGAGAGACCCGCGAGGCCTGCTCCTGAGAGGAGACCCGCGAGGCCTGCTCCTGAGAGGAGACCCGCGGCGCCTGGTCCGGAGAGGTGACACGAGAGGCCCGGTCCGGAGAGGTGACACGAGAGGCCTGCTCCGATGACGTACACGGCGCGGCGGACCAACCAGAAGCAGCCGGGACGTTAATGCACTGCCAAACACGTCAGTGATGGCCACAGCTGGGAGATTCCAATTCCCTGACACGTAACAACCTGAGTCTTGGCCAATCGGCTACCTGATCCACACAGAAAAGAACTGGGTATTCGCGTTAAAGCAACCCTTCGCTGGCTGACTCACAGCTTCACGCACGGCGCCCGTCCTCACATCGAGCCGTCTTCCGGCTGTTCCTGGTAAATACGGGAAAAAGGTTCCAAACGCCACCATAAAGCGCACTACACATCACAACTGCAAACTACCCTGGCAAGCACGGACGGAGGCAGTGGACACCAACCGCGATGAGTTCGTGGAACGCGTGGTACCTGCACTACAGGTACTGCTCTTGATCCCAGGCAGCATGTCTGCACCTACGATTCATTTTCATGCCAAGTCAAACCTTGGCAGGCATAGGAACGGAACAAAACCCATCCAGCTCACAAGTCCGAGGGAGCTAGCCAAATTTCAGGCCCCGTTACGCGGCCAACAATGATTACACATTAGAGAGGTCACGCAAGTACGCTCGTAAGCATCGTCACGGCGAGAAACAATGAAGGACTGCGACAGGACGCTCGCGGACTCGTCCTCGGGAGTTCGGAGGAGCCGCTCGTGCGTCGCGCCACAGTGCAAGAGCGTGGAGTGGCACCGCATCCCGCACTGCCAGTGGCCGCCATCCCAGGCCGCGCAGCCCCGCGTCCGACTACTGGCCGGCCGGGCGTGCCTTGGCCTTGTTCTGTCCGCCGCCAGAGCGCTTCTGGGCGGGCTTGTTGCCGCCGCTGGCGGGTCGTTTCCGGGCTGCAGCGGGCTGCTCGCTCGGGCTGCCGGCGGACGCCTTCTGGACTGGTGCGGCGGCGGCCGGCGGCCCGGCAGGCTTGCCTTTCTTGTAGGCGGCCGCCATCCACTCGATGTTACGCGGCCGGACCTGCCGGCCGGGGCGGGTCGGTGCTACACGGCCGCCGTCATGGACTGCGCGAAGCACACCAGAGTCTGTCGCCGTCGCGGAATTATATTCAGAGACTGACCTGGCTACAACGCTGTGGTCTGTGCCCACAGGCCCACAATCGTTTGAGGGCGGTGCTAAGACAACATGTCAGTGCCAGCTACTCGACGTTTATCTAGACGCGTGTAACTCAATCACATAAATGGAGCATATAAGTTGGACGCGCTAAGCTAAGCAACCAGCAAATCGCATTTGTATTATATCACACGATTGCAACGGCAGGACAGGCCTACCACCAGTGCAGTCTCCAACCCAGCCCTTCCAGACGGAAAAAGACAAACGTCTTGCCAAATCTCAACACTCTCTGACATCCACCCAACAAGAACCAAGAGCGACAGCAACTCTAGCATTGTTCCACCTGGAGGCCGGTCACGAGGCGCGCACCTGTCACGGGCTCGGACCGGCCGGGCGCCGGTCGACCGGCGCTGGCTCACGGCCGGGCGGGCCGCCGCCTCTCACCGTGTCGTGGTCGACGATCGGCGCGGGGTAGTCGGTGCCGATGACGCAGCCGGCCGCCCTCTGCACACTAAGCGGACGCCTTCCACGGCTCGTAGATGTACTGCGACGGGTACCTGGCCGGTTCGGGTGGGTACGTCAAGGTGTTATAGGTTAAGGCACGGAGGACATGAGGCACGTACAAAGCACACAACCGCTTCACTGCATTTCGTACCTTCCGGCAACGGCGCGTCTTCGATATAAACAATGCTTCCTTTTTGTAAAGTTGGGTTTGCTATTTTTTGTAGCGACATCATTGAATAAATTTACAGTGGCATTACATCATTACAACTTAAAGCTCCTCATAATATCTGATATCCGGCACGTGTAAAAATCACTTCCATAGCAGGTGTAAAATCACTTCTATCTTCGGTCTAACATGTAAGCATTACAAGGTGACATAGTGGTAAAAACAATGCATGCAAGGTCTGCACAAACGACGTCAATGACAAGCCAGGAGCGAAACGGACACCGCACTGGGCTCACTTTTTAAGCTTAGGAAGGTACTTCTTGATGTAATCCCCATTGGGGTCTGTCTTCTTCCCAAACGCCACAGGACTGTAGACGCGGAAGAACTGGTGGAAGAACGCCGAGGCCGACAGCCACATCCAGTTGGCGGCATTCAGCGACCAGTCAGAGTCCAGCAGGAGTTCGTCAAACACCTAGACGGGAGAGGGCGGTCACTACGGACACGCCGGAGAGCCGAAAGCAGACAGCACGGGGCGCCTGGCACCAAGGCCCTAGGACAGGCCCAGGCCACGCCCTAGGCCTAGGCACAGCCTGAGACACTTACGGACCTGGCAGCGGTGTGCAGCGGAGACAGTGAACTACGCTGAGACATCAAATTATATCGAGATAAGCTACATGACGCCAGTGGTGTGGAGCCGTACACATTCTGCGCGGGATGAGGCGAGTCGAAGCCTTGAATCATTAGGCCGACAGAGCGAAGAACAGCGGCTGCGTCCAACGAGAACTCATGCTGAACACTTAGAACAACATGCTGGAATTTTTGGGTCAGAGTCAGGGAACATTAAACCTAGACAAAGAATGCATTGCTTGCACCTCTGCCAATAACTGTGCGGGGTTCGTTAACAGTTTCGCACTACACACAGCATTGCAGCACGGTAGCCAGACGTTGACGGCCGAGGCGGCGCCCGACCTTCATGCCCTCCTCCCAGCTGATGAAGAGGTCGCCGCGCGTCAGGAAGCAGGCGACCGCGTGCCGCGCCAGGTGGTGGATCCAGCCCTCCTGCCGCAGCTGGGTCATGATGGCATCGATGAACGGGTACCCAGTCCGACCCTCGGTCCACGCCTGTGTACGGCATATGACACGCCGCGTCACACACCCGCTGACCGAGCCAAGCCAATGGCCATCCCTTTCAGACACGCTGAGATTGTGCCAGCTTGCGGATTTCGTTGCGTCAGCTGCTTAACGAAACCCACGGTCTACATCCATTGAGATGGCGAGGAAAATAAGGTGGCCTATAAACTGCTACCCCACTAATTTGCGGAGTTTGTGTAACTTCACACGGCGTTATACAATGACGGATGCAACATTTGACAAGAGGTCGCCATGCGCACCTACATCTACGCCGCGCTGCGGACGACTCGCCCCGCAGCCACCGCCCGGCAGACCAACCTTGAGGTGCTCCTCATTCTTTTGCCACGGTATCTGTCGGCAGATGGGGTTGCCCTCCATGCGGTCGAAGTTGGGCGTGCTAGCGCCCACCGTGTAAAAGAACTCGCGCCAGAGCAGCTGACCGTGCAGCGAGACGGGCGGCTGCGTATGCGTGCCGCCGGCCCGGTACACGGCCGCCAGCCGGTGGTAGAAGAGCCGCGCTGATACACAGCCAAACTTGAGGTACGGGCTAAGCACGGTCGTGCTCGGCGCCAGCGAGTTGGGCGCCGTCTGCGGCTTCTGGAAGCGGCAGCACCAGGCGGCGCGCGCCAGGTGCCGTTCCAGCCGCGCCAGGCCCTCCGTCTCGCCGCCCGGGTACAGCTCGGCCGGGACCCGCTCTGCGTCCACGCCCAGCTCGTGCAGCGTCGGCGGCGCGTGTTCGCCCGGGCACTTGCCGGGCGCCGGCAGCGAGGCAGGCGCCGGCTCGGCGGCCGGCGGCGCGCCCAGCTGACCCGCCAGCGACACCATCTTCTGGTAGGTGAGCGGCGCACGGCCGCCGTTGGCCGCGCACACACGCGCCGGCTCGAACAGCGTGTGCGAAGTGACGGCCGTGACGGCGCAGCTCAGCTGGCGCGCCAGCGCCGTGACGCGCGCGTCGCGCGCCACCGCGTACGGCTCGGTGTCGGCCTCGAACGTCAGGTGGCGCACGTCCCAGTCCGGGATGAGCCGCGCCAGCACCGCCTCGGGTGCGCCGCGACACACGAACAGCCGGGAGCCGCGCGCCGCCAGCGACGCCGCCAGGTCGGCCAGCGCGCCCGCCAGGAAGCGCCAGCGGTTGGCGCCCACGCGGCCCGAGCGGACGAAGTGCGGGTCCAGGATGAAGATGGGCCGCAGGTGGGCGCCCGTGCGCTCGGCGTAGGCGGCGGCCGCAAGAAGGGCCGGGTTGTCATGCAGGCGCAGGCCCTTGCGGAACCAGTGGATCACCACAGGTGGAGCCATGGTGATGCTGGCTTCAGCTGTCAGGACACCACATGTCACTGTGCCAGGGAAAAGTGATTACTAACAACAGTGATCTATCAGGAGTACCCATACAAACATGCACCACAATGGAATACATGTGGAGAAAATGCTAACTTCCCAGTTCCAAAGCAGCATAAATGGCCCGATTTAACTCTACAGGCCCAAAACTGTGGAACCAAGAGACTCGCCTCACCTACAAATCCAGAAATCTGTCATGAAACTGATGACCCATGACTCTTATGATAAAAACTACCCTATTCATGTCCCACCAAGATGTTGTCAAGACATAGCATCCATATGTCTTGAAAGTGATAGTTACACCCACTACTTGGTTGGGTTCAAGTTGCTATATTTAAGATATCATACTTTGAAGGCATATGAAGGAGGCATGTTGGGTGAGGCTGCGGGGGGGGGGGGGCAATGGATATTGGCCAATTGGCCAGTTTTCCCATGTTTTGTGAATACTCAACATGCAAACTGAATAAAAACTGCACTGGACTGGTAAATCAAAAATTTTGAGCATAACTCTCAGCTAGGTTGACATATGCCAAAAACGGGGCAAATACGACAAAGTTGAAGTCAGCCCCTCACCTCTTTAGACCTTATACCCCTGTCAGCAAATGATGGTATAGGCATCAACTAGATATTTAGGGCAACTTCATTCTTGCCCCAAATCAGCTATCAAACTGTTCATTTGACACAGTTTTTGATAACCCAAGTTACCCTGACAATTTTTTTCTCACCCCATTTTTATGCTACATAATCTCCTTAAAATTAAGAATTCCTCCCAAAATTTCAAAAAGCTATACCACATTTTGCGTGGACCACAGCCTTAACCCAAGATCTTGTTAAAACTAATGGTGTTTTGCACACTGGGTTGCACCCCTGCAACAATTGAACTCTTGATATCCAGGAAACCATGCCCACATCTGTAACTACCTGGTTGCATAACACACCATCTTTGGGATGCAAAACATAATTTTTTGCCATAAATGTTGATCAGAATGGTACATAGTGGCAAGGGCAGTGTTAAAACATAAAACATAACACCCCATAGCTGCACAAAGTCTTGAACCATGGGGCCCCGACACGTTACATAATGCCCACATTGCAGAATTCACCCATTCTCTAAAATACAAGACAAGCCCAACAGCAGGAGAATTGGGCACATTCTACCTCAGATCGTTACGCCTTGGTCACCTATCAGGCTTCCCAAACAAGCCACCTACGTCAGCCACGACGACCACAGCCAACCCTCCCGCCACGCTGCTTTGCGTTTGTTTTTCACGGCGGCACCCGACGGCGGCGCCTCCTTATGAAAAGGTAAGGAAAGAAGAGACTAAACTGCTACAGAAATGTTGTGTGCCTTTGGAATGGTGGATGATTCGCATTCTCTTCACCAAGAATGCTAAAAGAACCGAAATGATCGACCAAGTGTGTTATCACTTAATTGGCTACCTTGGCATGGTTTCCATCTGAGAGCCTCACGAGGTGCATTAAGTTAGCGCTATCTGGACAGCGCCGAGGCGAGGAGCCCGACATGGAAGCCAGACATGGGTATTGACTGAACCTGCTGCCAACGTAAAAAAGCAGCACATCCTGACGATCCACCTGGGCTAAAAATGAGGAAAGTCTGACACTCTGTCTACGATACGCCTCTGGTCGTGGACCAGGACAGTGGGTTACACGCCCACAGATTCGCCGGGCCTCTCGTCCGGTAATGGCCAGGTGAAGACTGCAGCTGACGGTGTGTTGCATTGGCAGTGCCGAACGGCTGTCCGACAGGCTGCGGCAGCACCGGCTACGGCTGCCGGTGTGGAGCGAGTCTGTGCGCCAGCTGTCCTACTGTCACGGCAGCGGAGTTCACGGGGGGGGGGGGGGGGGGGCAGTTCGGCTCGAAACCCCAGTGCCGGGTAATGATTCCGACTGGGGGCTGCCCCAGCAGCTCAGCCTCCCTCCAGCCCAGCTACGCGGCGCGGTCGCCTTATCTTCACCGCACGCGGCGACCCGCTGCCCTGAGCTGCCCCCGGACGCGTGCTCGCTGGGCGCGCCGACGGCCCAGCGAGCACGCGGCTCCCCGACCGCGCTGGGCGCCGACCGGCCTACGTGGAGGTGGAGGGGGGGGGGGGGGAGGGGATGCGCCTGCCCAGTGGGCACACCACCACCCCGTCGGACTGTTCCAATGGACCTGCCCGGTGCCATGTCCGCGGCTGCGCGTTGGTTAAAACGCCCTGCTCTGGCCATTCGCTCGGCACAGTCCTGCGCTTGGTTTGACTTCACCTCATCTTGATCATTCGCGGCGACGCCAGGCGCGGACTACGGGACAGCCAATAACATATGCAACACGTGCCAACCTGTGTGGACTTCGCGCGTTTGGTACCCTTATCGTTGGGCGTCGTGCCCTGCGCCGAAGACAATGCGTCGTGCACCAGCAGACGCGAGGCTGCGTCCATCCCTCGCGTTACGGCCCGACCTCGTGACACATCAATGGGACTGAAGCCACACTGGTTGAGTGGCGCGACGTGTGACGGGGCATGTGATGAAGTCTGGTAACCGGGACCGCTCCCGTGCAATGCACTGCTTTTCTGTCCTGCTTGCGTCGCGGTGCGATGAGAGAAATACACTCATTTAAACGAATACAGATCACCCACAGGCAAGGAGCTGGACGATGCCAGGTAAAACAGACCGGTGAGCCTTCAGCACTGCCGGTCCCTGGAAGGCCAGAGTACGATTTAGTCGGGCAAGTTTTTCTTTTAGTAAACCGTCTATGCAGGTTTCACGATTTGCTGTGTCGTTTCCATTGTATGGTGGCGTGCCGATCTGAAATCGTTAGCACAACCTGACTCCAGAAAGGCGTATCATTTTATAATTATCATTGCAACGAAATATGTCGAACGGGAAACAATCATAGCCAAACAATTATCCGACGCTTCTGGAAAGCCAAGGAGCCTGTTGCTGATGCCTGCTTTTACAATGCTCAGCCAACCATATGCCTGCTTCCACGCCGCCAATCATCTCCAGCACATCACAGCTCTTCACAGTAAAACCCAATACAGGCCACCAGTCAACTTCACTAGCAAGGCTGCTGCGTGCAAGCTGCACTGCAAGACATGTCTGAATAGACGTACACTACAGGTCGCTAAGAAAAACTATCACAACCGTTGGAAAGGGACCGCCAGTGGTGAACAGATATCAATAACATCAACTACATGAAAACCTGTCTGGAAGGAAACCCCAACATTTCCACACACCCGCGCCATTCAGAGGCAACGAAAGTCACGCATATACGGATGGACAGCAGCCAAGAGCCAGACGAAGCGGAACGTAAACCTATGAGGTCGAACAGGGTGAAGCTGGAACTTCCACCACCAGACAGAATAGAGTCGGGAATTTCCACGCCCGGCAGCGTAAAATACTGACTTGCAGCGTCAGCCGGCGACGGCAAGAGCCAACCACGCCGCCCGCCAGAGCAGGTAACGGGAGGCCGCGGGCGGCCGGCGATCGCGAGAGCCAACCACGCCACCCGCCGGAGCAGGTAACGGGAGGCCGCGGGCGGCCGGCGATCGCGAGAGCCAACCACGCCACCCGCCGGAGCAGGTAACGGGAGGCCGCGGGCGGCCGCCGGGTCACCGTCCCCTCGCCGCAGCCGGCGGAGGCCCGGTCACCGTCCCCTCACTGCGGCCGGCAGAGCATCCGTCGCCGTCCTCCCGCTGCGGCCGGCGGAGGCCCTGTCGCCGTCCTCTCGCTGCGACCGGCGGAGCATCCGTCGCCGTCCTCCCGCTGCGACCGGCGGAGGCCCTGTCGCCGTCCCCTCGCTGCGGCCGGCGGAGGCCCTGTCGCCGTCCCCTCGCTGCGGCCGGCGGAGGCCCTGTCGCCGTCCCCTCGCTGCGGCCGGCGGAGGCCCTGTCGCCGTCCCCTCGCTGCGGCCGGCGGAGCATCCGTCGCCGTCCTCCTGCTGCGACCGACGGAGGCCCTGTCGCCGTCCCCTCGCTGCGGCCGGCGGAGCATCCGTCGTCGTCCCCTAGTTGAGGTTGGTCGACGCCACCAGTGCCACTCCGCGCTCGTAGAAGCTATGTTCCGACTGCTGGCCGGCCACCTGCATGGCGACGGTGAAGAGCAGCTCCGAGCGCGTGGCGTTCAGGTAGACGGGCAGCGTGATGTAGCGCGCGCCCGGCAGCCGGCCCTCGCCGCGTGTCCAGGTCAGCTGCAGCTGCGGCAGCTCCGTCTGAATGGTGGTGGTCAGCTGCAGCTGATTGTCGCGGCACAGCGCCCCCTGCAGCTTGACGCCGCGCAGAGACATGCTGCCGGCCGGCACCGGCGCCGCCGCCTCCGTCACCGTCACGCGCAGTTCCAGCTCCTCCAGCGACCAGCTGTTGGCCTGCGCCACACACTGGCGTGTGGCCGTCACGTACGCCTCCGGGTTGAAGAGGCCGCCCAGCCAGATCTGCTGCGTCTGCGGGCGGTCAGGGAGGGGGGGGGGGGGGAGGGAGAGCTCAGCAGCGGGCGGCGGATGAGGGGGCTGGGGGTGGGGAGGAGCTGACACCGGCCTTCAGTGCCGTCACATGGCTAACATACATCATATCACAATCATGGTCTGTAATTTCACCAAGGTCATGCCTAACACGCGGAGCGTATTTTGAGCATCACTATGAGGCTCATGCCCAGAAGCAGACAACGACATGGACAAGAGACGGGGCGCAATACCGCCACAGCTCGCACATCAGCCACGTGCACTGACACCACGCAACTCAGCCACCGAGACACGGCAGCCGCCCGACCGGCCGTCGCGCCGGCGCCCGATCCCACCAGACCAGACCCGGTCCGCTGACACGCCGGAGCCCGATCCCACCAGACCAGACCTGACCCGCCGTCGCGCCGGCGCCCGGTCCCACCAGACCAGACCTGACCCGCCGTCGCTCCGGCGCCCGCGTACCTTGAGCCCGTTCGCGCCGGCCTGCGCCACGCTGCTGCTGACGGCCTGCAGCTGCTGGACGCGCTGCGCGAAGTCAGTGATCCACTGGATGACGGTGGTGGTGGCGGGCACCTTGTACTGGCGCCAGCTGGCCGGGATGACGCCCCGCACCAGCTCGGCCACCATCGTGCGGTGGTAGTTAGTCTGTTTCTTGGTGCCCTGTCAACGGCACATGGCGGGGCGTCAGGCGGCAGACGGCGCGCGGGTGCGGCGGACATGTGCCAGGCGAGAGGCGCGGGAGGAAGGCGCGCTTGGGAGGGACACAGGGAGGCGGACTGAGTCACTCGTGGCGAAACAGTGGGGTCAGACTGTAGGGAAACACAGACAGTGAGTGTTAAATGAAGGTCTTCGGTCAGCAGCGAACTCATACCAATGGATACGACCTACGACGGGACTGACAAACATTTCACACCATTACCAAAAGATGGAGTGAGAAAAAACATGGCGTGCCATCTTTATCTCGTGCGCAAAGCCCGGACCTGACATGCACGCTTAACACCCCTGACTTTCACAGAGCACCACCGGCTGCTCCAGCAGGCAGGGGCGTTCAGCACGCGTCGACCACAGCCCCCGGCCAGAGACGACACCCGCCGCGGCGCGGGCCCCAGCCGGGCCGACACTGACCTCGCAGATGGCGATGATGTCGGCGATGTCGCTCTGCACGCCGGCCAGCAGGCGGGAGCCGATGTTAACCTCGCGCTCGAAGTAGCGGTACAGCGGGTCCCGGATGTTCTCCACCGTGCGGCGCAGGGTCTGCGGGGGCGAGGGTCTGGTCAGCGACACAGCGCGCAGCGGCGGACGGTCTCCGCCGTACGACGCGGAGGGGGAGGCGCGACAGCGGCGGACGGTCTCCGCCGGACGACGCGGAGGGGGAGGCGGGACAGCGGCGGACGGTCTCCGCCGGACGACGCGGAGGGGGAGGCGGGACAGCGAGGGACGGTCTCCGCCGGACGACGCGGAGGGGGAGGCGGGGCAGCGGCGGACGGTCTCCGCCGGATGACGCGGAGGGGGAGGCGGGACAGCGAGGGACGGTCTCCGCCGGACGACGCGGAGGGGGAGGCGGGACAGCGAGGGACGGTCTCCGCCGGACGACGCGGAGGGGGAGGCGGGGCAGCGGCGGACGGTCTCCGCCGGACGACGCGGAGGGGGAGGCGGGACAGTGAGGGACGGCGGCTAGACGGAGCAGCGGGCCACAAATGGACACATAAACTTCAGACCCTGGTGTCTGGCGGCTGTTAACACCACACCACACGCACATTACTCACAGGTGAGCCCATTAATGTAACTGCTACCTGCCACTGCTCCGCCCAGTATGGACACAAGCTCCCTGGCTACCGTCGGCAGCAGCTGCCGGCGGCTGAGCCCAGCCAGACGCCCTCTGCCCTCGGCCGTGCGCGAAAGCCTACCTGCAGCTGGGCGGGCAGCAGCTGGCTCCAGGTGCGGCCGCTGTTGTGCAGCACCCGCATCCAGGCGGGCCGCGCGTCCGCCTGGTGCTTCTCGGCCTCACGCTCATCCACGTACGCCACCTCGCCGTCGTCCTCCAACAGCTGCATCCGCAGCAGCGACGACACCATGTCCGTACCGCGCGTGGTCAGCAGCAGCTGCAGGGGCGGAGCGACACATCAGACGGCGGCCGGAGGAGGGGTCGGGGCGACAGGCGCGTGGGCGGTGCTGGCGAAGGCGGCAGCGGTAGTACGTCCGAGCATGTCCCTTACGACGGTTCGCCGTTCCGGTCGGCAGGCTGCGTTGCCGATGGGGGACCCATAGCGGCCAATCAGTGATAACGAACCAGCCACAGCTGGTGGAACGCGCCACATCATAGAGGCTTTTCTCACACCTCTGGTACATCGGATGCATTGCTTTGGCATGCGCACAGGCGGTGATAAGAAAATTCAATGATTTTAACCACCCGACTATACCCGCACCCGCGCTGCTACGATCTCTGGAGAACAATACCAAACCGTTTGATCTGTGAGACAAGATCCGCGCCTTCCAGACACCACCAGCAGCCCACCGTTGTCGCCTTCCAAGCCGCCGCCGCCGCCGCCGCGCTCTCGGCTGCGAACGCTCACCTTCTCGGCGTTGTTGGGCAGGCCGAGCCAGGCGGGCGTCTGCCTGTCCGACAGCTGCTCCACCCACTGCAGGAACTGGTCGCGCCGGATGCCCTCGGGCATGCTGATGTCCGTGCCGTCGGCGCCGGCGCCTGCCACCAGCGCGAAGTCGCCGTCGAAGCTGGACGGCGTGAACAGCTTGTCCAGGAACGACGAGAGCAGCCGCTGGTCGAAGTCGTTGTCGATCTTGCCGCCGTAGATGCACTGCGAGAGCAGCGTGCGCAGCGCCAGCCACGGCACCTTCTCCGGCGGCAGGTTGGTGCGGCCCTGCGGTCGGGTCGGCCGGTCACCATCACACAGGGGAGGGGAGAGCGGCCGGTCACTGTATACTGCTGCCGGAACGACCACACACTGCGGGCCACATTTCGGACCTTTTGCCGGAGACGGGCCAGCATCGCACATAATGACGTCACTAGGTAATGGGAGGCGCCACCACGAAGCAGTCCATTGGCCACACTGCACAAACCCCGTAACCCCACTTTCTGCAGCACGTTTAACTCTGCGGGCACCGCACACGACCAAGCCAGCATTTTGTAAGGACGACAAAAATTAAAACCAGGAGAACGACAAGTTGAGTACGAACAAGCCACGCACACACCCTGAAATGCCAGAGTTGGCAACAGGAAAGCGGAACAGAAAGAGAACAGCGCGAGCTTCCCAACAGACAACAGCGGCGACGCGACAGGACAGAGAACAGAGCAAGAGACACAGGACGAGGGAGAGTAGGCAGACCGGACAGAGAACGGAGCAAGAGACACAGGACGCGGGAGGGTTGGCGGACCGGACAGAGAACAGAGCAAGGGACACAGGATGCGGGAAGGTTGGCAAACCGGACAGAGAACGGAGCAAGGGGCACAGTACGCAGGAGGGCTGGCGGACCGGACAGCAAACAGAGGAAGAGACACAGGACGCGGGAGGGTTGACGGACCAGACAGAGAACGGAGCAAGTGACACGGGACGCGGGAGGACCGGACAAAGAACAGAGCAAGGGACACAGGACGCGGGAGGGTAGGCGGACCGAACAGAGAACAGGGCAAGGGACACACGACGTGGGAGGGTTGGCGGTCCGGACAGAGAACAGAGCAAGAGACGCAGGACGCGGTAGGGTAGGCGGACCAAACAGAGAACAGAGCAAGAGACACAGGACGCGAGAGGGTTGGCGGACCGGACAGAGCACCGGATGGAGACGGAAGCCCAGAAGCGCCGGCCCATCTCCGCCGGAGCACACGCCCTCGCACGCCCGCCCCACTTACAGACGCGGCGCCCTCTGCCCCGGAAGAGATCTACAACGGCAGAGACGGGTCACACATACACGACGGCGAGCGGCGCCGGGCCAGGTCACGGCGTCACAGCGGACCCCGGCACAGTGAGCCACGCCGTGTCCTGCCGCCTGGCGGCCGAGCTGACCGGACAGCGCCAGGCAGTCCGCTCCTCCACACGCGTGCCGGCGGCCCCATCAGCCGGCAGTGGCGGCGGAAGGGATGACGAGTGACACCACCGTCCCCTGCACCGATACTTGCCAGTGTCTCCAGCGCGCTCGGCACCCAGCTGCGGCCGCGGCGGCTCGGGCCGAGCAGCGCCGCTAACGCCGGCCGCAAGTGGCGCCACGTTCCGGCGTCACATCGGCCGAGCTCTCGCAACACCAAACTTGACAGTGGCGGGACGAGCCGTCACCGAAGACGAGGACCACCGCCCGCGATCCTGGTCGAGCCGTCACGGCCGACCCGCTGCGGCCGCCCCACCGCGTCCACTCACCATAGCCGTGGCCTCGATCCACGTGTCGAGCGTGTCGCACGCCACGCGCAGGTCCGACTCGTTGAACTCGTAGCCCTTGGACCAGCCGAGCGGCGCGTACCGCAGTCGCTCTTGCACCACGGCGTGGAACCACGCCAGCAGGAAATAGATGCGGGCCCGCTCCGAGGGCGGCTTCATCATGCGGGCCGCCGGCACCTGGCAAGAGCAGAGCAGGGCGCGGTCACGGTCACGTGACGAAACTGCGGCCACGTGACGCCCGGCGGGGCGGCGGGGCCGTTAGGACACGGCACAAGCGACAGCGCGACACATCACGAGTGACGGACGGGGTCGACCGCCGCGAGTCAGATGGCGGAGCGGACGACAGGCAGCAGCGCGCTGCAGCGCCCTAGAATGCCGCCGCGCCAGACCGCGACGCGGCGAGCTGAGGTGGCGGCGGCGGCGGCGAGCTCCCAAAACGCCGACCGGCCGACTGGCCGGACTGACCGACGGCTGGCCGGACTGACCGACAGGCTGGCCGGACTGACCGACAGGCTGGCCGGACTGACCGACGGCTGGCCGGACTGACCGACGGCTGGACGGACTGACCGGCCGACTGGCCGGACTGACCGACAGGCCGACTGGCCGGACTGACCGACGGCTGGCCGACCCACTGACCGAGCTGAAGGTACGCAGCAGGTTGGCGCGAATGCCAGGCGGTGGCTCGAACACCAGGATGCGGCCGGCTCTCAGCAGGTTCACTGGTATCTTGGGGCTGATCTCCATCGTCAGGAACAGCCTGGCGGCGCGGCCGGCCACGTCAGCGGCGCAGCGAGCGCGCGGCCGCGGCGACACCGGTGCCGGACACGCGGCACCAGAGGACCGCGCGGGCGACCGCACAGAGGGCTAGCGGCACCGGACGAGCGGCTTGGGGGGGCGTACGGCGCAGAAGGCGACAGACAAGTTGGCGCGTGCGAGCATGCGGAGACGGCGGACGGTGGCAGCACGCACCTGAAATTGGCGTTGGGCTGCAATGTGTGCAGCTTCTTCTCCAGCTGGACCAGCCAGGAGGCGGCCAGGTGGACGTTCTTGAGCATCACCCACCTGCAGACAGAACGCCAGAGTTAACCTTCCCGCACCGAGCCCGACTACACTGGTACTCAGCTTACTGGCGTCATCAACTGGCAATACGGCACACACGACCAGGTTCGTAGGACCATAACCGCAGGGCGGTTATGACAGCGCGAGAGGAATTACCCGCGCCCCAGCCGAGTCAACGCCGCGCCGCCCGCTCACCGTCCCGTCTTGACCGCCGAGTTGATGGCCTTTTCGGCCTGGCTGAAGCCCTCGGCCGATCCGATGGCGATGCTGGTGACGGCACGGCCCAGCTCAGCGGCCAGGTCGTCCACACGGCCGGACGCGTCGTAGCCGGACACCGAGCAGAGCAGCACCGGCGCGCTGGGCCGCACCTCCGTCTCCACGATGTTGGCCAGGTCCAGCTCGCGCTCGGCGTCCGGCATGAAGCGCTCGCCGAACACGGCGTCCACCAGCTGGTGGCCGGCCGCCAGCAGGCGGTCCGGCCGGAACGTCTGGTGGGTAAGCGGGAGGCGTCAGGCGGCCGGGCAGCCCTCGACTGTCTGACGACTGAGAACAGCGGCGCCGTGCCGGCAGCGGGTCGGCCCGGTGCAGCGGCCCGTCAGGCGGCGGCCCGGCGCCGGCGCAGGTCAGCCGCGCGGCCGCCGCTCGTGACCGGCAGCTTACCGTCGCCCGTCTCCGGGGAGTGACACCGCGCCGGACGCACAGTCCGACCTCGCCGCGCACGCGACCGAGTCAGGAGACAGGGGTCGGGGGTCAGGGGTCAGGAATGGATCAGCGCAGTCAGATCAGCAGGTGACAAGCAGTTTCTCATTCTGCACGGCGTTCGAACAGTTGTATGTCGCTCAAGCGTGCATGCGGGCCAAGTACGCTTTTACGATATACGATTACAATCGTGCCATTACATACGACCATACTCGAATACAACAATCGGAGCCGATCGGGTTCCGAACCCCGCGGTGTGGTGGCATCAGAACAGACAGCCATTTAGGCCCAATGGCGCGCACACACACACACACACACAACCTGAAATCCACGTCTCAAACCGCCTGCTCCGTCTGATGTACGCCGAGCACGGCCTCAACAACGGCTTCAGCAGGACGGCGGCACCCTCCGAGGCGCCACACCTCCCGAGCGCAGCAGCCACCTCCTGCCGCGTGGCCCACCCCAGCGCGGCCGCGGCTCACCTGAACCAGCAGGAGCCGGTGCATGGCGACGGCGGCGGGCGTGGTGACGCGCTCCTCGCTCCAGACGGTGGGGACGCTCATCTCCGGCGCCACCGACTGCAGCCACTCGTGGAACGGCGGGCTGCTGACGTGGCTCGCCACCTTGGCAAACGCCGGCAGTCTGGCGGGGCGTGCCGAGCGGTGTCACCGCGACGGCGGACCGTTCAGAGGATGGCCACCGTCTCGCACTGGCGTCACTCCGCACAACGTGACCACCGACCCAACGCTGCACACAATCAAGCACAGTTGAAGAACCACCATTAGGACGGCCCTTTCCATGATTCCAACACGCGCCTTTCACGCAGATGTTGGGCGTGACAAAGGCCGTGTGTTCCGCCAAACCATGAGTGTTTGGAAAAACCGAAGCTGTAGATGTAACTCAACTCCCCCTGCCGTGCGTCAGCGCACATCTAGCGTTTCATCCGGCGCCGCTTCACCACCCGTACCTCTACCCCAGGCGGACCACGTCCCTCATCCTACCACCGCCACGGAAGGCCAGCCGTACCTCTGCGCCAGGCGGACCACGTCCCTCATCCCACCACCGCCACGGAAGGCCAGCCGTACCTCTGCGCCAGGCGGATCATGTCCCTTATCCCACCACCGCCACGGAAGGCCAGCCGTACCTCTGCGCCAGGCGGATCATGTCCCTCATCCCACCACCGCCACAGAAGGCTGGCCGTACCTCTGCGCCAGGCGGACCATGTTCTCGGCCTGTTCGTCGCTCAGTCCGGCGACGTCGGACGGCCGCTGCGTCACGATGCCCTCCTTGCCGCGGATGAGGAAGTCGAACTCGTCCTCTAGGTCGCCGTTTCCGGCGGCGCCGCGCAGACTGATGCGCGCCAGCAGCAGCGCCAGCGTCAGGCGGTGGTGGTGTGCCATGCCGCGCGCTACCCGGCTGTAACACATCTGCCAGACACACGCGCGCGCGCGGTGAGCCGTCAGCGGTGGCGGTGGGGGGCGCTCACGTTCCAGTCATAAGCGCGGCTTGTTGCACGAGGTAGGCGTTGTGAAGCTCTACCGATCCCTGCGCGGCTGAGATTGGAGACCGAGGGACTTCCGGTCGCACGACCGTTGACCAAAGTGAGAACAAATCAGGGGTGCACCGAAAAGCACGAAGTCGAGGCCGATCACATGAACAAACATGGCAACGCGAGGACAAGTCCTCCAGTCCCCCAGCAGGAGAATGGCGCATGCGGTCGGTCGGTCACCCACCGAGAACAGCGCCTGGGTGATGATGGCCAGGCGCTCGTTCGGGTCCGTCTTGCCTTGCAGGCCCGGGTTCTTGGTCAGCACGCAGTTGAAGACGTCTAGGAAGAACTGCAGCGAAAACTGGTACAAGAAGTGGATCTGGTGCAGCGACTCCAGCATGAAGTAGATGCTGCTGCAAGCCTGGAACACGTCACACGACCGAGTTCGTTAGCAAACGCCCGAAAAGAGGAGTGGAGAACTTTCCTGGCCTCAAGTCACCGCCCATTCACACCCAGAGCCGGCCACAAACTACGCAAACTCGTAACAAACCCAACATTTTGTTGCTACCCAACACGCCTTTTAACACCCGGTGCAAGCATTTTAATTTAATTTAATGGATTACTGGGATCAGCGTCCGCGCTAAGCGGTCCGTGTTGCAAGAGCTCCGATGTCATCATAAGATTGTAAATTCCGAGTCAACAGCAGAATTTTGACGACAGCGTATTGTAACACAATGTTCGGCACGGTCCTTGCTCCCCTCTGAGGCCAGCTGACCACAGACACAGACACAAACACAGACACTGCCACCGGCCGCAGTCCATCCAAGTCGGGGACAAATACGTATAGTCTGAAGCGACTCGAGACCACCCCGCCACGAGTGAGCGAATCAAAACGCTCGCTGACCAACTGAGAGCGCTCTCGAGACGGATTCGTCACACATTCGAAAGCACAAGACGCCCGCCGACACAACATTCTCACCCTGCGTATGTTGGGTCACGCATCATATAAAACACGCTACGAGCTCAGCCAAAATAAAACCGCCCAGCAGGACTAGCACATCGTTCCGGAGCCGGCCGGAGCTATGCTGACAACACCGCTGCCAGGCCCGCCACCGACTAACCTGTGCTAGCGGCAGGTACTGCTGCGACACCGTCTCGATCTCCGCGATGACCTTGTCCGTCTCCTCCACCTTGCTGGTGATCTCGGCCGCCTCCTTCTTCAGAGTCTCCAAAGTGGTGATGACGCTGTCATCGTCCAGGATCTTGCCCTTGGCGTCGTTGAGCGCCTGCAGCAGCGACTTCTCCAGGTGGCGCAGACGCAGGTGGAACTCGCCTGTCGACGAGGTACGGGCGCCGCGCTCAGGCGGCGGGACGACTGCGACGCACTGCAGGACGGCGCAATACGGGGCAAACACGGTCACAACGGTCAGCGGCTGATCACCCCGCTCAAACACCGCGCACAGCACCTTCTACACCTTCTCCCAGCACCTAGTACATTCCATCCCAGGCCAGAGGTCCAGACTGCGTCCTAACATCCACCAGGCGTAGCCGTATCAAACCATACAATGTCAACACAATGGCTCAGCCACCCCAGCCCCGTATTTCTTACTTCGTCGTCCGAAACACCAGTCGCCAACCATGGAAGGCGACACGCACTCAGCTACTGCGTTCAGTGTTGTTATCGGGGAACTGGGATCGTCCGAGCTACTGAGCAGCCCGTCTCGCCATTGCGAACCCTAATCAGAACACGCAGGAAGTCCGTCCGCGCTCCAGCAGACCTGAGTGCTGGATTTGGATTACTATCACCGATCAAGACAGCGACGCTTGGGCTCCATACACCACCGTCCGCATCTGGAAGAGGGAGGCCGTCGCCAACTCACCCTGCAGCTTGAGCAGGTCGGCACGTTTCTCGTCGATGTCGGGACGCTCCGCCTTCAGCACCTGGTTCAGACACTGCGACTGCAGGCTGCTCCGCGTGACGGTGAAGTTGACGAACGTGACGCGCGAGCAGATGTCGGCCGGGAACTCCACCTGGCGTCGGGCGCCACGTCACGGGTCGGGCTCGGTGCGTTCAGCACAGGACGCGGCGCGGAGCGGCGCGTGAGAGGTCCCAGTCAAGACGCCGAGACGGGCTGACGCGGCGCGGGGCCGTCGCGGGAGCGGAGACGGCAGCAACGTCACGAGGGTGTGGAGCGGAAGCGCGGTGTCCATGCGTGAGACGACTAATGGGGGATGATCCAGGGAGGGCCACAGCCAGGGCGCGCGGGCGACCACTCAGACACAGGTGAGCATGGGTGGACACAACAGAACAGACGTGCAGAGGGACACGTTCGCATCCCTGGCCGATGCCGAGCCTGCGATGGCGCCACCCGTCTACACCGCACGGCCCTGAGGGCGGCCCGTCCAACCCATCGCCCTCCCACAGTGCCCGCCCAACTGACCGTCGGGTCGCGGGTCGACAGGAAGATGGTGAAGGTGGGCGACAAGTCGATGTCCTGGTCGCCGAGCGTGACGAGCACGCGGCCGCCGGTGCGGCGCAGCTCGCGGTTCAGCACCGGGTTCAGGATCGGGTCATAGTTCTCCACGTCCTGCCGGGCACGAGGCGGCGCTGGCGTCAGAGGGAGGGTCACGCCGCGGGCGGCCGCGGCGCGGGCCGTCAGCAGGTTGCCGCGGGGAGACGGGCACGGAAGGTACGCCGCCACCGACACGACACGAATACAGAAGCGCCTCCGCCCTGGTGCAGGCCGATCTCGACAAATGCTATGGACCGTCTGCATCAGCGGGGTCTGCACACGTATGGCGGCGTGGCCGACCAGTGGCAGGGCTCAACCATAACAGCTGCCGCACAGCTGGCGAGCAGTGGCAGAGCTCAACCATAACAGCTGCCGCACAGCTGGCGAGCAGTGGCAAAGCTCAACCATGACAGCTGCCGCACAGCTGGAAGCAGGTAGAGGCGGCGGGTAAATTCTTGCAAACCTTTTCCAGCATAGTGTGGGCAACTATGTACCCGTGCCGGGTCAGGGTCGGGTCCGTAGCTACAGCTGCTGAAAACCCTTTATGACCTGACGACAGTAACCAGCCCGTCACACTCTATACCGAACCAAACTAGACAGGGTCTCAGCTCAGACCAGACCAGACCAGGCCAGCCCTCAGACCAGACCGCGCCAGACAGCGCACGACGGCAGCCTCACCTGCACCAGCAGCGGGTTGCCGAAGCGCAGCGCGCTCTCCAGATTCTTTCTGAAGCTGTCGTCCAGGAAGCTGGTCTTGGTGATCTTCTTGCCGGCGAACTCCTTCATGATGAACTCGGTAGCTTGGCCCGACGGGTCGATGATAAGCGGGTACCGGTTGAAACGCTGCAGCAGATCCAGACGCACAGCGTCACACGATGCGGGGGGAGCCGGGCGCGCGGCGTCACACGACGCGGGGCGAGCCAGGTGGGCGGCGTCACACGACGCGGGGCGAGCCAGATGGGCGGCTTCACAAGACGCGGGACGAGCCAGGCGGGCGGCGTCACACGACGCGGGGCGAGCCAGATGGGCGGCGTCACAAGACGCGGGGCGAGCCATGCGGGCGGCGACACAGGGAGAGACGGCGGGCAACGAGACTCGCGGACGACAGCGCCTCGCCCTGAGCACGCTAATCGCCCGCGCCTGGCTCCCCCCGTCAGAAAGCCTGCAGTGGCGGTCTCACTCACAGCTGCCATCTGATACACGCACGCCACTGACATGACATTGACGCGTGCCGAGGCTGACGGCTGCAGCGCTCAAACGACGCCGACGACGGCTGAGGTCACGCCGATGTGGTCCTGCAGGCGCCGATGGCCGTGTGGGTCGGCTACCCGCGGCGTCAACAGGCAGTCACACCAACACAACAGAGGCTGATACCGGTGCATCTCAGATCCGTCAGCTCCACGGACACTGGAGAGCAGCACCACGTCCGGCCAGCGCAGCCGCGCCGTCCCAGCCGCCGGTCGCGTCACCGACCGATCGGCTGCAAGACGGCACCGGCTCGCCGGCCTCCCGCCGGCCGCCACCGCCGCCCTCCAGCGCACCCACCTCCAGCATGATGGCGTTCTCGGTGCACAGGTCGTCGGAGGGCAGCGAGTTGGCCTGCCAGCGCAGCCGCTCGTCCGGGTTGCTGAGGTACTCGGTGCGGGCGAGGTCGGGCCGGTACGCCACGGCCGCCTGCTGCAGGTGCGCGCACCAGTTGGAGAACAGGCTCTGGCGCAGCTGCTGGTCAAAGTAGCCGGCGTACGCCAGGAAGGCGGCCGACAGCAGCACGTCGCCGATGATGGTGAGCATCTGGGAGCGGAACGTCTCGCTGGTGGCCAGCCACCGCTCCCGCTCGATGCTCAGCGACTTGAGCAGCGCCATCGAACGGTCCACCTGGCCGGGAGAGTAGGCGCAGTGCAGCTCAGGGCGGGCTCAGCCACACGAGAGCCCGAGGGCACATCGGGGATCCATTCACGTGTTCACAAGGAATAAATCGAGGCGTCTGATGACAAGCACAAAACTCATCCTCTGGATCACAAACAGACCAATCGGAGCACGAACAATCCCAGATAATCAACGAGCAACACCGGCATCATAGCCTGCGATATAAAAACGATCTGACATGAAAGGCGCATTATTTTGTCATGCCAACGGCACATGACCAGATGGCCAACTGATCTAAATCCACGCGAGCCCTCGACCCTTTTCGAAAGTTCCTTCTCCAGTAAGGCCGGTTTGGTTCAGCCCCACATGATGCCGTGGCCCACGGGAGTCCATGAACTTGACGTGCCGTGCCGCCTCCGGCATTCAATCAACCCCCGTCAACTAAAATCAGCTTGAGCTTCTCCTACAGCCATTAGCGTCGCAGTCTCTAGCGATCTGCGGCACGGAGGGTCAGGTGAGACACTGGTGGCAGCTAGTCTCGAACCCACACCCTTCCCCTCACCCCGAGCACGGCATGATGGCGTTGCCGCGCGGCGCGTCCAGTAGTCTCACCTTGGCCTGCACGCTGGCCAGGTCAGTCTTGATCGCCTGCGCCTGCGCAATCAGCACGGCGTACTCCTCCTTGTAGCTGGCGATCGAGCGCTCCAGCTTGTCGATCACCTGGCGGGACACGCATGCTCCCGGTCAGGACAACGGTCCGCCCCGGTCAGGACACGGGGCCGCTCCGGTCAGGGGGGCACCGGGCCGCTCCGGTCAGGGCACCGGGCCGCTCCGGTCAGGGCCGCTCCGGTCAGGCGCCGCCGGGGCCGTCACCGAGACCCGGGCCACGATGAGACTGATGAGACAGTTATAGTCCCATCACGGCCTGAGCCGCCAGGCCACCTTATCACCCACAATCATCAACATGTCGTAGCCGCCGCAGCAGGCAGCACCGTCGGTCGCACCACGCCCCCCTCCCTCCCCCCCCCCCCCGCCGCCCCGCTCCAGGGCCGGGACGCCGCCGAGATGCGCCGCGCGAGCTCACCTTGGTGATCTCCTCGGCCTTGTGTTTATTCTCGTCCGCCTGCGACTCCAGCGACTTGAGCTCGTTGCGCAGCGGGTCAACCCGCTTCAGCATGTCGGCGTAGTTGATCTGGGGTGGGGCGCGAGCGACCGTCAGAGGGGGCGCCGGACCGGTCACGTCCACACCATTAGTCAGGGAGCGGCTAGGCAGCGGCTGCTCAGCCGGACGTCCCGAGCACTCCCACCGTGGGGATCCAGCGCAGCGAGGGCGTAATGCGATCGTCACATACACTGGAGAAGGCAGCGAGTACAATGCACACCGCGATGATTGCATATCAAACAGCGCAGAACTTCAGAGCTATTGAACGCGCGATGGACGCGGTACGACATACATAATACATAGCCGAAAAGTCATCTCGGGAAGAAAACGCTGTCGATGCTCGCTTTCGGCAACGGCATCAAGGAGAAAACTTAGTGGCCGGGGTCGGGCCCTGACCTGTGCGATGGCCCACTTCACCATGGGCCCGCAGGCCGACGAGGCGTTGTTGATCTTGGCGAAGTTGTAGTCGGGGTTGGAGAGGTAGCGCTTCCTCATCTTCTCCCGAATGCTGTCACTGTACGGACAATGATGTTTCGTAATAGTTACGAGAACTGGTCGACACGCAACGGCTCGTGGCGGCGTTTAGCCGCGCGAGGCACCGACCCAGTGAGCTCCGGCGCGGCGACCCAGTGAGCTCCGACGCGGCGACCCAGTGAGCTCCGGCGCGGCGACCCAGTGAGCTCCGGCGCGGCGCTATCCGCCCCTCCGGTGGTACGCCGGAGACCGGTCGTCCAGCACTGCTCGGACGTCGACTGCAGGTGTCCACTCAGGGGGAGAACTCCGCGCCAGGGAGCATACATGCCAGACCCAACACCACGGGATCAGCCATGGCCTGACCGTAGGTGCAGGATCGCATCGTTTGGAGGCGCCGGTAGCGAACCCCAGCACACTGCGTCGAAGCAGTGAGCACAGACCACGGACGCAGCGCCACACGGCCTGTAATGGATGCCATGCCACCGCGTTGAATGCGCTGCCTCGGGTCTGCTCGACAGACCACAACGGCACGGCCGGCACTTGCCTGATGCTCTCGGTCGAGTAGTTCACGATGCTGGGGATGAAGCTGTCCTTCATCAGCACACTGCGGATGGTCTTCCAGTCGGAGGTCTCCTCGCCGAGGAACAGGCAGATCGACTCGAGCGCCAGGCGGACCAGCGCCGGCGGCAGACTCATCGAACGCAGTTCCACCAGATTCTGCTTCTTGATGGACTTGACGGCTGGGCGGCGAGCGGAAGAGCGCGGTCAGTCAGGGACAGGGGCTGTGGAATCGCAGCTACAGTGATCCTTTGAGTCCAAGCTGTTTTTACAATGCCGTGTCGGGTGCAGCAGGGGGGCCGACAGGATGAGTTCAGGCCACGGTCGGCGTGCCGTGCTGCATGACGGACTGACGTGCGGCTAGAGGCCCACCGTGCATAGAGTTCAACCCTAACGCCGTCAAAAAGCAGAACCAGGCAGACCACAAGCCACCGTCGCGCGATTTCACCACCGTTTTGGTGGCTCGCGCCACAGCCTGCTTCCACGACCACTCCGCCACACTCATCTCCAGCCGCTCCCCGGTGTCTGGCGGCGGACCGCAGCCCGGCAGCAGACAGCCGGCCGGCCCGCGCGGCGCCCGTACCATTCTGCGCCTCGATGACGGCCGGCTCCACTCCGGCCAGCTCGGCCACCACATCCTCGCGCTTGACGGCGATCTCGCGCGTCTGCTGCTCCAGCTGCGCCTGCACCTCCTGCGAGTGCACTTTCTGACGCTCGGCCTCCTGCTGGTCCAGCACCATCTGGCGCAGCTTCTGATTAGCCGCCTCGTTCTTCTGCTGCAGCTCCTGCGCGCCGACGGGGGAGACGGAGGCGTCAAAGGGGCGCCGAGTACTGGACGAGGCGGCTCAGCTGGCGCCGAAGGCCCACAAAGCGCCGCCATCTGGCCAACGTTGGGCGTGGAAGGGCAACGGTGTGCGGTGAGCTCACATCAGGAAGCAAGAAACACCTGCGCTGTCCGAGGCTGACGTGGACAAATGACACCGCGAGGGCACATCCATTTCCGCAGTATGTCCGCGCATTCACGCGGCATCAGCCGAGCAAACGTAGTCCAGTATCAGCAGCCGTAACAAGCCGACCGTGACACTTTATACTCGGCCAGGCTCCGGACTGACACCGCTGCGCAGATACAGCGGCGGACTGGCGAGCGGCGGAGATTGTCAGCCACTCACCTGAGACTTCACGGCCAGCGACTTCTGCATCTCTTCCACCTGCTCCACCGTCTCGGCGATCTTGTTCAGGCCGACGTTCAGGTGCAGCTGCTGCTCCTCCAGGTCGGCCCGCTTCTCGTTGTACAGCTTCACGAAGTGGTTGATGAAGTCCAGGTAGTGCCTGACAGAACAAAAGGTCGATGGTGAGGTGTGTGTTGAGACCATTCCAAAACGTGGGGTACAGGGCCGACGTGTGCCTGGGGCACAGACCGTCGCAACAATTATTTATGGTGACTTATGGAGCGCATTTACGATGCGCTAGTATTATTCTGATAGCCCGCAGTTGGACGTCGGTGGTGAAACTACCAAAAGCACGTGACCACCGTCCACCTCTGAGCTTTTCCCCGTCGCATCGCAAGCATAAGGTAGCCAAGCAAGACCCAAGTCGTTATAACTTTATTTTCCCTGCAGACGCCACAACCCCCAGCCCTGACCTTGACCCATCAACCGCCCCCCCCCCCCCAGCCGCAGCCACTGTCGTGTGACAGTCGCCGCGGAGCAGCCCCGCCCCGCCCCCCGGCGGGCCCCCGCACTTACCGGGGCGTGATGGCGGTGGTGCGCTGGCCGCGCTTGGCCAGCCGCTGGTTGGCGCGGTGCAGCGACTGGTGCACGTGCACGAAGGCGTTGACGATGGCGTCGCGGTGGGTGGGCGGGTGCGGCAACTCGTCGTACGCCACCGGGAAGTAGTCGGGCGGCGACCAGTTCATTCGATCCAGGTCCACCCGGTTGGTGAACTCGCGGCCCACCTGCAGACGCGGCGGGCGTCAGCGGGGCGCGCACCCGGCCTCAGGAGCGCGGCGGGCGTCAGCGGGGCGCGCGGCAGCCGCAGCCGGCCTCAGGAGCGCGCCGGGCGCGGGGCCGTGGCCGGCGGCGGGGGCAGTCACGGCCGAGCGGCCACCGAGCTCGTCAGCGACACGCTGCCCAACATTCTGCCGACCTCTTCGCCAACCGCGACGCCTTAGTCCGTCACACGACCTGATGACGTTGCAGCGCACCCCAATCTCAACAGACCAGGAGCGCGCGCGCGCGTTCGACTTTGCGCGGACGCGTCTACTCTACCAGGCTTGCCACACTGGCCCGCGGCGCTGACGCATGCGCGCGCGGCCGCCCCCACACGGACCGCCTACCTGGAAGAAGGCGCCGTTGCTCCAGTCGCCGAACCAGTTGAGCACGCAGCGGTTGAAGAGCGCGGGCGAGGTGGCAGCCCGGTCTTTGAGCCCCTCCGAGCTGGGGTTCATCGTGAACACCACGTGCAGGTTGCGCATCACCTGGCTGGTGAACCACTTGTACAGCTCCTCGTTGGAGTCGAGCATGAGGCCGTCTCGCTGACTGCCCTCCTTACACTGGGTCATGAGCGCCGACGCCTCGTCACCTGGCGACGTCAGGGGCCTCTACACAACGGGCACCGGGCTCTGAGCAGCGGCTGCTGGGCGAGAGCTGCGCACCCGGCGGAGCGGGGGACCTTCCGGGGGCACGTCGCCAAACGGTGATACGCACCTGGCGGGAGCAGCGCGCACAAACAGTTTCTGTCGCCTGGATGAACTCCAAACCTAGACAGGCGACACCGGCGACTCTGGACCTTATGCACGAGGAAAATCAAAACACACAACAGACTGCAGCTATATAGGTTAACAACCGTGGCATACTAGCAAGTTAAATACTTTGTAGACTATCAGCCCTTTGTCAGCAAAGATAGAGCAGACTGGCAACCTTATTTTGTCTCCATTGAGGCCCCTCTATGTTTGTTGCCATATCCTGACCTATGGCATCCCTGGCCCTGGTAAAGTGAGACAATCTCACCCGTCGACATCACTTGACACAAAGAAAAGCGATGTAAAGATGCGTTAATACACGGTACGTTTGCTACGGTTTTACGATGCGATGGTCCGTTCTGTTCACTGCTTCACTGTCTGCATTGTTCACTACTGATGACCGACACTAGACACCTCGTAGGTTTCTCCACCATGGCCTGACAAAACCACGCAAAAAAAACCAACGGCAACGATGCTGTTCTACCTCCACTCAGTCACCCACCTTCGAAGAGACCGGGCACCTCTCCGTTGGCCAGCAGCGTGTTCATGCGCTCGAGGAAGCTGGAGTCGAGCATGTTCGACTCGTCCAGGATGAAGCAGACCTTCTCGCCGCGGCAGCCAGAGCGCCGCAGCACGGTGCGCAGGTCCTCGTCGAAGTCCTCGCCCGTGTACTTGTTGTGCACCTGGGGCGGGGGAGGGGCAGGGGGGCATTATTAACCAGGCAAGCGAGCGTTCCTCCGGCTGCCGGTCACGCCCGAGGACACATAAGTGGTGACAACGAACCGCTGACAGCGAGATGGTCGATGATCGGGTGCGTTCAACCTTTCCCCTCCGTGGGTACAGTGGCAATGCTGCCGACGCCACGACGCTCTGTGCTCCCGCCTACACACCTTGATCTGGAATACAGAGAGCCCGTTCATCCAGGCGACGAAGCGCGAGAGGGTGGTCTTGCCGGCACCGCTGACGCCGATCAGCAGCAGGTGGCCCTGCGGCTGGCGGTAGATCCGGTCGATGCGCAGCACGTGGTCCAGCACCTCGTTGAACAGCACCAGCGGAACGTCCAGCTCCTCCTCGTAGAACACCTGACAAAAGGGAATGGGGTTACAACATGCGGCGGCGGACGAGTCGGTACGATCCAGCCAGTGACGGCATCACGCAGCCGGACCGCGCCGTAAGATCCAGCCAGTGACGGTATCACACAGCGGGACCGCACCATAAGATCCAGGTCTTGCTGGCAAGCGAGGATGCCGAGACAAAACCACTCATATGTTCGTCAATCCGTACATTATTGTGTTTTCTGATCTCATCTCATCGTCAAATAAGTCTACATGGGACGAGTTTTCCAGTTATTAGGTGGTGGGCGGTAAGTACTATGTGACGTGACTGCGGCAATGTGTTCGTGTTTTGTAGTGTTCCCATTATGGGTGCATTTGGTACGCACCAACGTAATAACATTTTATCTTACTTCAAATGGCCATGCTTCATTTGCCTTCTTCGTACTTAAATATGTTTTGCAGATAGTATTGCACAATTTCCATCCTTAAAAAGCTCAAAACTTGTACAGATTAACGAATATATGAGTGATTTCGCACTAACTATCTTTGATCCTAACGACATGTAAATACACGCAAGCACGCAAGCACGTACGCACGCACGCACGCACGCACGCACGCACACACACGTACGCACGCACGCACGCACGCACGCATGCACACACACATACATACATATATATATATATATATATATATATATATATATATATATATACAGTTACATCGTATATTAGAACATACGAGCATGCACTATTCAGCGTTCACTTTGCTCTAAGGATGTTTAAAAGACTTGCACGATCCACAGCTCGGGCCACGAGCCACGACCACCGGCGGAGGCCACAACGGTCCAGAGCTCGAGCCACGAACCACGACCACCGGCGGAGGCCATAACGATCCAGAGCTCTGGCCACGACCACTGGCGGAGGCCACAACGCTGGTGCCATCCACCTCGGCGTGGCGTGACGTCACGCCCCAGCCGAGCGGACTGACTGACTGACCTTGAGCCGAGCCTTGACGTACTCGCGCAGCTCCTCCTGGTCGACGGGCACGTAATCCTTGTGCAGCCAGTTGGAGTAGAGGATGGGCCGGCGCAGGGCCGTCTCCTTGTCGATGTTGGGGAAGTGTCGCAGCGCCACCTGGTCCACGTGCTCATTGGTCCAGGTGCGCTCCTCATCGTACACGAGCCGGTCCTGGAAGAGGCGCAGAGCCTCGTGCGCCCACAGCCGCACCAGGTCCTCCACCGAGGCGGCCTCCATTGGTCTGGCGGCGACAAGCGGGCGGGCCGGCGTCAGTAAGCTGGCGAGAGCGGCCGGCTCGCGGCAATACCCCGGCGTCCCGAACGGGGTATGGCCTGACAATACCGCCCCCACAAACCCGTCACGTCGGCTGACACCGGCGGCCGCCGCAGGTCAGCACGCGTGCCGCCGTGCTAGCGCCTTCGCTGCGCTGCTTCGACAGCTGGCAGTGACTACCGCAGCCCTCCAGCACGAGTCTGCCAGCCGCTTCAGTGCTGCGCGAAGGCAGCGCCGGCCGTCGCGCCCCTGCTCACCGGATGGCCTCGCAGATACCGCGCACCCAGCGGGTGAGCTCGCGCGGCGAGTACACGTAGTGCGGCTGCATGTCCTGCGTGAAGCGCTGCTGCGAGCCCAGATAGAACTCCACCATCGCCGACGTCAGCGGCTCGGCGTACGTCTTCAGCGCCGGCTGCATGCGCAGCATCGCCCGGTTGAACGTGCCGTAAATCTGCCGGGTTAGGGTAGCATCACATCAGGGGCGTCCAGCGCCGGCGGCAGGCTCGTGAGCAGGCGGTCACCGAGCGCAGCAGTACATGGCAAGCGCGTTGGTGCTTGGTGGCTTCGATGAAGGCTCCTGTGGTATCATTTGAATGGAAGTAGACGAGGAAAACAGGGGACGCAGCTCGTAATTAAAGCCCAGTTCAGAGCACTTCTGGCTGCAAGCGGGGTGAGCAAACCACATGAAGACGTCCACCAGCCCGAGTGGCACCGGACCCGTCTAAAGAGCGCCTCGTCCGTCTGAGAAGCGTCACACCCGCTTGGGCAGTATCTCGCCTGTTTGAGGGACGTCTCGCCCGGGTAGTCGACGTAGACGACGGGCATGTGACGCAGCAGACGGTGCGAGAGCGGCTTGCGGCCGGGGTCCGTCGGCGGGTTACACGCGCCCACGAACTGCGGACGCAGGGCGGCACACGACGCGTCTCAGAACACGTCCGCACGCCGGCACAGTTCGCATGCACGCATACGCACACCGATCAGCGCGTGACTCGCCATCTGTATTAGTTCTGATCAAGACCCCAGCCCTGGGCTTCAGCTAAACCGCTGGAGTCGTGTCGCACCTTACTCACATCGTCCCAGTTTGATCCAGACCTGACATGCACACTCGTGTCTTCTACCCAGTGTGATCCACACCTGCCCGACCCAGACCTTGCCCGATGGCCTCCACACGTGCCCCCCGTGACGACTGGCCCCAGCCGGCCCACCTGTATGCGCTCGAGCCGGATCCAGGTCTGGTCAGTGGTGCGGTAGAAGCCGCCGTGCTCCACCATCTGGCGCATGAAGCTGATGACGCGCTGCGTGCCGTACTGGTCCATGTCGGGCAGGTTGATCTCGTCGCAGAACACCACCAGCCACTTGCCCAGCTGCCGACGGATGGGGCGGCAGCGCGGCGTGAGGCGGGGGTGGGCCAGCCGAGGTCGGCCCCCGAACGAGCACGGTCGCGGCCGCCGGGTACAGAGGCTGCACATTCGCAGCGCGCGGGGAGAGTTGGCGAACGTGCGGCGCCTGAGGCCACCTGCCCACGGCATCACATGATTTGGGTGGCTCAGAAACAACGGAGATGCTGTAGTTCGCCGTTATGACAGCCGGAATACGAGACGGACTCCGCGACGAACCATCCGCCCTGCACATTCACACCGGCATCCCCCATGTTCCGGAGAATCTCTCAGGGGCAGGGTGGTGGGTCCCGCTCACCACACTCACCAGCACGGGCGCCAGCACCACGCCGTTGGGCGTCTTGCGGTACTCGCAGTAGTGGTCGAACGTCTTGAGCAGCAGCTCAGGGGTGGTGGCCGACGAGAAGTTGAGGCCGACCACCTCCAGGTCGGGCAGCGAACGCAGCGCCGAGAACAGCGTCATCGTCTTACCGGACCCGGGCGGGCCGCACAGCACTGCCAGCAGGTGGGTCAGGTCAGGTCAGGTCAGGTCAAGTCAGGCGCCGGCTCGCCGCGGCGGGCACGCAGGGCTTCACAACCTCAACTTCTTGGTTAGGGTTCATCTGCTCCTAGGGTAGCCGAGCGGGGCAAAGTTACTAACGTCATTTTCGAATGTTTCCAGCTTTGCAACGCTTTCAGGCCATACACGCTGCCATTCCACAGATTGTTGTGCTTCATTATTTGGTTCGTCCTAAACGGTCCACCAGCCAATGACCCTGGAGCGGCCAGGTTAGCGCCGGGCGGCCGGGCTACGACATAATGCAGCTCGTAAAAATGCACCCCGGCCACAACTCTCCATTCCACCAACACTGCTCCCCTGCCTCGGTACGTTGCCTGCCGGTACCGGCTGGGCCGAGCCGGGGCCGGGGCCGGGGCAGGGCCGGGGCCGGGGCCGGGGCCGGGGCCGGGGCCGGGGCCGGGGCCGGGGCCGGGGCCGGGGCCGGGGCCGGACCTACCCAGCGGCTTGTGCTCGGCCAGCCAGGTGTAGAGCAGGGCCTCGTGTCGGACCGTGTCGACGGTGGGGATGACCAGGTCCGGCGCCGCCACCATGTGAGTCTCCACTTCGATCTGCGGCACGCGCTGCGACCACGGCACCCAGTCGCCCTGGAGGGTGATCTGGGGAGCAGACAGCCGGGCCGAGGTCAACCGTTGGATCAGGGGCACACAGCACGGCCGGGTCAGAGGTCAGTGGCGAGCGCACCACATGATGCCGAGGGGGCGGCGTGCCCCATCACGCGAAGAGGGCAGACGAAAGGGGATGCGAACCACGTTGGCCCATTCTCACGGCTCCTGTTCCTGTTGCCTATTTTTTGAGTGTTGTAAATCGAAGCATAAATGAACTCACTACAGCCAAGGAGCAGCAAAGTAATGATAAGTCGACATTTCAAATACTCGGTCAGGCTGAGCGATCGCTGACTTCGTACGATCAAAATTCAAACCTACATAATAAGACACACAGCATCTCCACAACAGCAATGCAGCGGCTATTTTCCCTCATATTCTAGGTTGGCGAATACCCCGCAACAAACACAGAGTCAAGTCGGAACGCTCCGTGCCACCCGGTGCCACCGCCGCCATCCGCAGTCCTGAGCTGCGCGGACACCCCCGCACCACACCCCATCCTCGCCCTCTCCTCCCCGGCTCAGGCGCACCTCGTAATCCACGATGCTGCCGGCCGTCGGCGGCAGCGCGATGGTCGTGCTGCCGCGGATGAATTCGCCAAGCTGGTCGCGCGTCTTGAGCTTGCCATCGCCGGCGAAGCTCCAGATGAGCGCGTGCACCAGCGCGCGCGGCACGTACGCCTCCAGCTGGTCGGGCGTCAGCGGAAAGTCGGAGTGCTGCGCGTTGTACTGCAGCAGGTTGCGGCAGGCCTGGTTCAGCATGGAGAAGAGCGAAGAGAGCGCGCGCAGCCGCGTGAAGTCCATTACGTGGTCGAGCGTGCGCGCGAACTCGAGGCACTTGACCACCAGGCCGTCCGAGGCGAGGTGTGCCTGCAGCAGTGTAGCCACCTCGCGCTGCAGCTGCGGAGGAGGCGGTGGGTGGTGCCGGTCAGAGACACTGGTGCCGCGGCGGCGGTGCGAGTGGGCGGCCACACGGGAGCGGCGGCACCGCCCCGCCACCGGGGACCGAAAAGGAACATCGAAACAAGAGCTTCGGTTGCCAACGGGCCGGCGCGATGATAATGACGATGATTTGGCCCCGAGGGCGCGCCGACTACCCTGCTCATATGGCCCCCATTCATAGTCGCCTGAGAATGCAGCATTACGAAGGCACAAGCTCAGAAAACCCTCTTCCACATCAGAACTTGTGACACTGATGCCTGACTTGAACGGGTCGACTCAGCGGATCGGTTTGCGACGAGGCCAGCGCGCGTGGGCCCATCGGCGCCAATCTGCCACCGAGCGCACTCCGCACCCGGCTGGCCGGGCGCAGTACGCGTGTGAGTCCTCACCTGCAGCGTGGGGCTGACGGCGTCGGCGGCGCCGGCGGCAGCCGCGCGCCGCTCCTCTTCGCCCTCCTCCAGCGGCACGCGCCGCAGCCGGCTCAGGTAGTTCTCGAAGATCATCTCAGTGGTGAGCACGTCCTCAGAGAACCAGACCATGCCGCAGCGCGACACGGTGGCCGGCGTGGCGTACTTCAGGTCCTGCACCTGCGGGCAGCGCGGGCGCGCAGAGTCAGCGGGCGCGCGCACGAGCGGGGCGGCACGGCCTGTCGAGCCCGGCGCCCAGCGGACCCGAGAATCGCCACCCCGGTGGTAAAGCCACCGCCCATATGAAAACGAGCCATACATTCAGCCGCCACCATCAAAAGTCAAACATCACGAGGCCCATCCAGCAGGCACCTTGAGGACCACGCAAGCCATCGTCGCACAATAACAACATCGCAAGCTAGGGTGCCAAACCATGAACCACTTCCGCCGGGACCCCGGCATCGGCCGGCTGCCTCGCACGTGCGGCGGCTGTGGCCCGCCGCAGCGCCGGTCACGCGGCCGGAGCGCGCCCCGGCCGCGACCACGCACCTCGAACATGACGCGCACGTTCGGCGGAATGGAGAGTCGCTCGCCGTTCGGCAGCGTCAGCAGGCGCGTGTTGTCCAGCACCGAGTTGAGGTTCTCCACCCACTCGGGATCCACGTCGCCGTCGAAGATAATCCACTGGCGCTTGTCCATCTCGCCGCGCACGTTGTCGATGATTCGCCTGAGGCGCGGCCGCGGACGGACAGTCGAGGCGTGATCGTGATGCGCCATAATGACATAGGCAGTGATGGGATAATGACCAGGCAGTGAACGTGTATCAGCAGCATGTTCTTTGGCACGTATGAAACAAGACAAAACTTTGGAAACAGATATTCACAATCACGAAAGGCAATGCATACGCCATGCGTTGGTCACGAACGCCGCCTGGCTGCTGCCTTGGGTGCAGGCCACTACACAGGACCGGCGAACGCCGATCCACACGGTAGATTACCATCGCCGTGATGGCGTTAGTAAACTCTGATCGGACAAGTCACAGTAGAACCCGACGGAGGCACGAGCTCGAAGCCGCACGATCTCGGCACGGCTGGCGCCGCCCACCAGCTCCGCGGCAACCTCTCGGCTCACCTCAGCGTGTGGGTGAAGAGGCCATCGTTCCACTCGCGGGTGTTCGGGTCCAGCACGCCGTACAGCGCCTCTTTGGAGATGGCCTTGGGGTCGATCACGTGCGCCACGCCCTCCACCCCTTCGAGCAGCTCCAGGGCCTGTCGTCAGGTTGGCGGCGTTCCGCGTGAGAGGGGAGGGGGGGGGGGGGACGCAGCAGCAGACCGAGAAACAGAGCAGTGGACCGCCCTGCGTGCCGCCCCACAGCTAGCGACAGCGCCACGGGCACTGCGGTGCCAGTCGATCCGTCCATACTTCGCCGCGCTCACGTGTTTCGGGACAAGAAGCCTGTGCCCGAACCAGCAGTGCTAGTACAATGGCCCTAGGGCAGTCCCTCGACACGTGGCGTGAGGCCGGAGTGGCCGACGTACCTTGAGCAGGACCCGCCAGGCGGAGGACTTGCCGCTGCCACTGGGGCCCACCATCATCAGGCCGTGGTGCAGCTGGGTGATCTGATACAGCTGCAGCACCTGTCGACACCGGCGGCGGCCGGGGTCAGCGCTCCGCCGCCGTCTCCAGGCCGGGTGACGAGCAGCGCTCACACGCGGCCCGGCCGGCGACGCTCTCCTCCCCGTCCCACGCCAGGGCCGCGGTCAGAGACCGCTCGTCTCCCCGGACAGAGGAGTTCACTCGTCTCGGAGGCAAACAACGGCCGCCTGGCCGCCTTCGAGGCTGACCTCACAGCGGTTTGTCTGTCGGGTAACTTCATATGACCGGACGAGAGGCACGCGACCAGGGCTAAACCGTCCCATCGACACAGCACTTGGCGTGAATACTTAACACACCGCCGGCAGCAGGCGCCTCACGAACACTCCATGACTGCCGCGTTACGAAGGGCTACCAACTGACAGTCTGTTGACGAGTGTCGTGCGGCAGGCTGTTTTGGCACACGGCGCCTCAACAGCAAACACGACATCTCGCGGCGTCTCGACATAACACCGGTTGTTAGCCTGGGGTCCAATAACCAGCCGTGCGCGGGGTGTGAGCCCGGCACCCAGGACCACCCGTCCCACGCCCCTAGTCAATGACTGTGAGCAGTCACGTTAGGGACACACGAGAGGTCGCTGCAGGGACGCGTGGTCGTGTTACCGATGCAGACGAGCAGCACAGCACATGGAATATTAATGTCGCCCCATGGTCACACCACACAAAATTAGTGTCCAGGCGGGCGCCTCTGAACGTCTAGCATGTCACAAGCATGCGATGAGTTGCCATAATACGACACGTGGCCATCATGCGACATGACAGGCGGCCCGGTGAATGGCTGATGCCAACTATGACTGGTATCACTCGGACCCGGTGTCGCCGCCGAATCCTCGATTTATACGATTGTGAACCGCTGGCCTCGGTTTCGTCAAAAGGATTTTTCACTGCAATAACTTCACAAAGTCAAACAATGTCAGTAACAGGCTTAGCTGTCCTGTCACCCCAGCTTGATTCTTTGCAAACGTTGCATACTAGATTCGGCTACAGCTTCGGCTTTGGTCTCGTATTTCTTACATTCGGCGCCGCTGACTTCGGCTTCGGCTAAGTGTACCCAAAGTTCGAAATCATCGCCTCCGTATTCGGCTTCACGTTTTACAGCTACGAAGCTTCTAGCTTTGGGCTCCGCAGTTCCAACCTTCAAGGTCGCTAGTTTCGGCTTCGACTTCGGCCTCCTGTCATTGTCTTGGCTTCAGATTCAGCTTCCAAGCCACAAGCCTGGGAGTTCATTCCCAGGCCTGAACGCGACACAGCGTGTAGCAACCATTGTGGTTGCCGACTTCATGTCTAACGTGTGAGCAGCCTACGAATCCCTGCTTAGCGGACAGAGAGGAGGAAGTCCGGGAAGCCTGTGATTGGAGCATCCGTCGGATACCACGTGAAAAGTGGCGAAAGCCACCGGCGATTCGGTGGAGCCGACAGTTACAGCCAGCGCGAGGAGTGGTGACGCCGGCCAGTGATCAGCAGCCACCGAAGCAGCGGCACAAGGAGCACAACAGGTGTCTGCCGCGAGCCAGCTGTAACGCCGGCAGCGACCACCGCCGCGCACTCCCTCCACTACCAGCAGACAGACCGCGAAGCCAGCGGGACGTCCCGGCGCTACCAGCCCGAACGCCAGCGCGAGCAGGCCAGTCGCCATTCGATCACCGCCGCGAGGACCAGGAGCGGTCAGTGGGTCCGCTGTCCGAGCGCGTGCTGTCCGCGGCATGCCGAGCCAGACAGCGGCGCGGGGTCGCCGGCCACCTCCGCGAGCGGCGGCCGGCGCACCACTGCCGCCCGACACGAGGCCGTGCAGCGCTACAAAGCGGTTACGCTGCGCATGCGTGGAGCGGCGCGGCGGCGCCGACCGTTTACCTTGTCCAGCCAGGTCTCGCCGGCGTAGGCCTGCGCCACGAGACAGCGGCACCGGTTAGAGTATGGGCGCCGACCCAGCTCGGCTCCATCACGAGAACCACACGCGCCCGGTTCCACCAAGAACACAACACACTTCTTGGCCGCCGGCTCCTGCACAACTTTACACGGTGCTGAGGTGCGCAAAACGTAAAACACGCCCCTACCGCCTATCTCGTCATTCGCGCGTATCCCCGCCACTAGGGCGGACCAGAGGGTCGCGGTCCAGGTCCGGGTGCCCGCCCCCGCCCGGCCGTCCCCCACCGCTCGGTCGACGGACTGGAACCGGCCCCAGCGGCGGCAGTCGGCACTGACCTTCTCCACCCAGCCGGCGCCGGCCTCCTCCCCCTCGCCGTACGACAGGTACTCCTGGCCGCACACCTGGGGGGCGGAAACGGCAGCTCAGGTCAGGACAATGCCAGCTTAAAGAAGCTCGACCTGACAAGGGCACAGCGCGTCGGGAGAAGTGCTGCCGGCTAAAGCACGCACGGCAGCAGAGTGATGACGAGTTATGTCGAGCCCTCTCAGCGTCAAGACCATGACCTCCCCGGATGAGCCGCAGTCAGCGAGCGGGCGACCGTTCGGCCCATGTGACGGAGCGCGCGCCGACCCACGGGCGGCGGCGGCGGCGCGGCTCTCACCTGGCGGATGTGCTTCTTGAGCTCGTCCATGTCGGCCCGCTGGTACTCCACGCCCGGAAACACGTCCGACAGCAGCGAGAACAGCAGCGGGATGTCCTCCGCCACCAGCTTCGGCACCATCGTCTCGCACAGAGACTGGATCAGGATCTGGCGGCACGCGAGCCAGCAGTGAGTGTCACACGACGGCGCAAGCAAGACGCCGGGAAACTGAACGGCAATGATTCGATGCTAGTGAAGAAGAAGGAAAACGCTGCACAGGCGTGGTGGCGTACGTCAGCATCACGATAAAGCGGTGCAGAAGACTGTGCCAATCAACATATAAAGAATAGGAATGGCACAGGAGACCGCACGCAATCGACAGTTTTCACCCAGGGTCGTAACGCCACGCGTGTCTGAGCCCTGACCAGGTGGAGCCCAAAGTCGCGGCGCCTCACACGCCGGATGCGGGTTTAACAGCATGTCTTTCCGGGGCAGCCAGCCCCACGCCAGCCATTACGCCCAGCAGCACAGAATCCGAGGCGGCCAGACCGGGACACCCGTCAGACACGGCGGCTCAGGCAGCTCTGTCAGGAGCACGCTCGCCAAGGGACTGGGTACCATCAGCCAGCCTGGACAGGCGCCGCGCGCCGCCCGCGGCCGTCGCCAACTGACCTCCTGCTCGGGCAGGTTCTCGGCGATGTTAGCCTCGTCCACGGGCTGGTTCTGCGCCGTCAACAGCTTCTTGATGTGCGTGATGCGATCGCGCTTGACAATGCCAGCGCTGCCCAGTACCGACTTGAGCGCGCGCAGGCTGAAGTCGTAATGCTTCTGACTGGAGAGCTGCTCGTCGCAGAGCCTGCGGGCGCGTGGGGAGGGGGGGGGGGGGGCGAGATGTGATCGAGCGGCGTCACGGCTGCGGTGGCGGGCTGCCAGCGGCGGACCTCGGAACACACACATGCACACGCACACGCACACACACACACATGGTACACGGTACACGGCACGGCCTGAACGGCAAGACGCGGCCGCTCCGGCCATACACCATCAGAGGAAGCGCACACGCAACAACCACAGCTTAACAATACCGCAAATGCGGGATTTTTGGAGACAGAGCAGCAGACGTGGGGTCCAGGCGGACGTCAGAAGAGGACAGGGAGGAGCGTCCCCCCTCACTGCGACACCCAGCGATGCCGGACGGAGCCAACACCCCACCCCACCCGCGCAGCGCCGCTGGTGCCGCTGACCTGAAGAACGGCACGATCTTGTTGGCGAGCCGCTCGGCCGTGCGATAGCCCTGTGAGAAGAGCGTGACTTCGGCGATCAGCTGCATGTTGGGTCGCGTCATGGCCAGCGAGCGGAACAGCTTCTTCAGGTTGTCGGGCAGGTTGGAGCGCGCCGCGTATCCGGGGTTCATGGTGATGAAGATGGCAATCTGCGGACTGACGGTCGTCTGCCGGCCCACCAGCTCGATCGACTGCACCGCTGCAGAGAACGTCACCGGCCGGTCACCACAGCGGCACGCTACACTTCGAGTCTAATGTATTTACTGGATAACTATGCAAGCCCTCGGAATCCAACTCCTTTCATTGGGGAGGGATATCGCGATGCTGGCGAAAAATTCATTACTTTAACACACAAGTGATCCTTGTAGGCACATAAAAACCTGACCCTTTTTGGACGCCACCCTTTTCTTTCAGTGCGCGTCCAAAACCACCAAACGCTGCAGCTATTTTCCGGCAAGATTCAGCGCTCAAACATGCATGGCTGAAAATGACAGCACCAACAGACCAGCTGTGGTCCGATGCCCGCTGCAACGCGCAGGTCAGCCTGACAGAGTCGGTCGCGGGTCGGCCTGAGAGAGTCGGCAGCAGGTCGGCCTGACAGAGTCGGCCGCGGGTCGGCCTGACAGAGTCGGCCGCGGGTCGGCCTGCCAGTCAGCCACAGGTCGGCCTGACAGAGTTGGCCGCGGGTCAGCCTGACAGAGTGGGCTGCAGGTCAGCCTGACAGAGTCGGCCGAGGGTCGGCCTGACAGAGTCGGCTGCGGGTCGGCCTGACAGAGTCGGCCGAGGGTCGGCCTGACAAAGTCCGCCGCGGATCGGCCTGACAGAGTTGGCCGCGGGTCGGCCTGCCAGTCAGCCACAGGTCGGCCTGACAGAGTCGGCCGAGGGTCGGCCTGACAAAGTCCGCCGCGGGTCGGCCTGACAGAGTCGGCCGCGGGTCGGCCTGCCAGTCAGCCACAGGTCGGCCTGACAGAGTTGGCCGCGGGTCAGCCTGACAGAGTGGGCTGCAGGTCAGATTGACAGAGTCGGCCGAGGGTCGGCCTGACAGAGTCGGCCGAGGGTCGGCCTGACAAAGTCCGCCGCGGATCGGCCTGACAGAGTTGGCCGCGGGTCGGCCTGACAGAGTCCGCCGCGGATCGGCCTGACAGAGTCGGCCGAGGGTCGGCCTGACAGAGTCGGCTGCGGGTCGGCCTGACAGAGTCGGCTGCGGGTCGGCCTGACAGAGTCGGCCGCGGTTCAACTGCCGCGCCACTCACCCTTGTCCTTGGACTCCTCCTGCGCCTTGAGCGCCTCCTGGATGGTCTGGATCTGCTGTGACACGGCCGACAGCATGCGCTCCTCCAGACGGTTGAATTCGTCGAAGCAGCCCCAGGCGCCAACCTGCGCAGCCGATCACAGGCAGGTCAGAGAGGCGCCGGCAGGACAGCCTGGCCTCGCGGCCCGCTCCAGGCCGGCTGACGGGGCCGACTGACACGCCGTCTGGGCCTTCAGCGCACGTCCTGGCGGTATCGCACGCGCGTCCAACGGTAGCCCCAGATTGTGAAGACGCCAACGGTCTATCGGCGGCGGCGCCGTGGTCTCGGCCCAGCGCCGGCCGGACAGCAGCCGGCGCTGGCTGCAGACGTGATTCGCGACTCAAGGAGCAGGCCCACGGCCCTCTCGCCTCTCACACGCCCCGTACAGTGGCTGCCGCGTGGCCGTCGACAGAGGGGATGCAACGATCAACGCAGCTAAACGGCCGCGCCCCAGAACATATCATCCGGCACCAGCCAGCGGACAAACACGACGCGTTCTACCCTGTCCCAGGCGACCCCGGCCCACGCACCTGACACAGGCCGAGCAGAATCCTTCTCCCCTGATCCAGGCGACCCCGGCCCACGCACCTGACCCAGGCCGAGCAGAATCCTTCTGCCCTGATCCAGGCGACCCCGGCCCACGCACCTGACACAGGCCGAGCAGAATACGACCCATGGCCTGCACGTCAAACGTCTCGTCGCAGTTGAAGACGAGCACGAACTTGCCCAGCTGGTTACCGAGCGCCTTCACCGACTCCGTCTTGCCGGTGCCAGCCGGGCCGAATGGCGAGCCGCCCAGCTTGGCCTGCAGGGCCTGCGCCATCGTCAGGTAGCAGCGGTCCGTCAGCGGCGTCTGCACGAGCCGCTCCTGCACGCCCAGGTACTCGAAGCCGTACGGGAAGCGCGCATTCGCCATGTGGATGCTCAGCTGGCGCAGCGGGTCCGCCTGCTTCGAGTCCCAGTAGAAGCGCATGCAGCGCAGCCAGTCGAACGCCTTGGGCGAATCCACCTGCCGGCCGGCAGAGGACGGTGACGGCGTGGAAGACTGTACGGTACTGCCGCCGGCTCGACCTCGCATGGCGCGACGTCCGATCGGAAGAACATGAACTTATTAACCAATCAAGAAGTAGTCTGCAATGCGCATAATGCTGCTTTATTCTGAACGCATCGCATCCATGCATTCAATTATGGTAACCTTTCCTGGAAGTAAAATAGTGGTCAGTGAGTAAATTGCCTGGTACAGAAACGTAATTTATCTCAAACCTGAATGCAAGCCATTGAGTGCTAAGTGCCCGTGAGTACTCTTAAAGATGTATCAAAGGTACACCTAACTCTACATCAACACTAAGTTTTCCGTCACGTCACGCCGGCGTCGGTCGCTGTGCACGTTACACCAGCCTACCCCGCGACCCGACGTCTCTGCTGTTGCCAGAGCCTCCCCTGGCGTGGCACGCCAGCCACCCCACCTTATTGTTGACGAGGGCCGCGAAGGACGGTGCGCTTGTGGACGAACTCGTTGATGAGGTGCTCGAGCTTGACGCGGCGCAGCGGCGGCTGGTCCTGCAGCACCGAGTCGGCCAGCATGCCCAGCATGTCCTCCACGCGCTGCAGCACGTCTGGCAGCTGGGTGGCCGGCTGGCCGGCCAGCGCCGTCTCCACCTCCTCCGTCCACCAGGTCTGCACGGCCAGCAGCACCAGCTGCGCCTGCCGAGCGGGCGCGGACGGGCGGCGTCAGAGCGGGACCGGTGCCGAGCGGGCGCGGACGGGCGGCGTCAGAGCGGGACCGGTGCCGAGCGGGGCGCGGACGGGCGGCGTCAGAGCGGGACCGGTGCCGAGCGGGCGCGGACGGGCGGCGTCAGAGCGGGACCGGTGCCGAGCGGGCGCGGACGGGCGGCGTCAGAGCGGGACCGGTGCCGAGCGGGCGAGGACGGGCGGCGTCAGAGCGGGACCGGTGCCGAGCGGGCGCGGACGGGCGGCGTCAGAGCGCGACCGGGCGCCGGCTGTCGGTGAGCGGCCAGGGAACAGTGCGGCGGGCGCGGACGGGCGGCGTCAGAGCGGGACCGGGGCGCCGGCTGTCGCCGAGCGGCCAGGGAACAGTGCGGCGGGCGCGGACAGACGCCGCCAACAGTTCCTCCCTCCGTGGAGCCGGCCGAGACACGTTTACGTACGAATCGGACACGGACGAAGGGTTGAAGGCAGGACCGGGCGCGGAGCAAAGATTACGAGCAGCAGGTGAGGACACAGACAAGCGGTAACGGCACACGCAGGGAGAGCCTGACATCGGTCGGCATGCAACGTGGAGCCCAACTGGGCCCCGTTTGAACGTGCATTCCTCCACTGGCCAGCCCCATATGTCACCTAGGCACAGCCAAACCAGCTCCCGATTAGTTGGACACAGGCCAGCGCACAAACCAGACAGTGAGAGGCGTCGAGCGTTCCAGCCCGCCCGGCGCCCTGGCGTACCTGATAGCCGTCGCACCAGGTCATGAAGTCGGCGGTGGCTCGCGGGCCCGCCATCCACTCGCGCAGCGTGATGATGGAGCGCGCCAGCCCGGCCGCCAGCGTGCTCATCATAGTGCGCTCCACGGCGCTCAGCCACTCGTTGATCTTGGGGTGCTCGGCAATCACGATCGGCTTCTCGAAGATCACCTGGCGGCCGGGGTCAACTGCGCTCAGGCCGGGTCAGGCAAGGCCAGTCGGGAGTCAGCTGCAGTCAGGCTGGCTCAGGCAGGGTCAGGTTAGGTCATTCGGGGCCAGGTTGGGTTAGCTGGGGCTAACCTCAGTCAGGCTAGGTCAGGCGGGGGTCAGCTGCGGTCAGGCGGGGGTCAGGCGGGATCAGACGGAGGTCAGTTGCGGTCCGGCGGGGTCCGGCGGTGTCAGCGCTGCCAGACGGGGGTCAGCTGACCTCAGGGGTGAGAGGCAGCGCGAGCAGCGCGCAGGTCACGCAGTGCGGCTCTCTGATCCGGCCCCACCCAACGGATGGCTGGGAGACACAGATCAGGCAAGCGGCCACAGGCCACCCAGGCCGGTAGAAAAGACAGGGGGGAGGGAGGAGGGGGAGCGGCCAGCCTTTTGGGAGCCTGCCATGTGTTCGGGAAGAAGTGCCTAGGTGACCTGGCTCCACCCATGGCGGGATCGACAGGCGCCAGGGCAGGGATCACCGCAATGGACGGATGCGAATGATGAGCTCATTGTTCGCATCATTGGCCTGTGTGCAAATCTACATAGAACGCAGCTTGGAACTGTTAGAAATTGGACACGAGCACCATCCATGTGAGTCTAAATCCTTCAACTTTCGCAAGACATGCATTAGCGATGATACATGTGCGAACCTTTCATTAAACAACGGCACAATAAGATGTCAGCCTTTCTTCCAAACCAACAAAGCAGAAGCTCGCCACTCAGCCTAACACATTTGCGATTCTTAGAACACCTGGATATCAAGGGCGCCACCACATAACATTTGGTCTGTGTGCATGCCTCACGCACAGAGCATCTGGGAGCCATTAGCTTGCATGCCTCATCTGATTTAACTTAGCTTTTCTCATATATTTTGCCTGCAGTAACAGGGTTGTAAATGCGGTGCACATTGCCAACATGCCACACGAGTGTGAATAGTTCATAACATCAAACATGCAATTCGCATGCTGCCAGAATAGCAACGACAGGGCTCGCTACAACCTGCCCCTCAAACGGTGTCTACCCAGCCAATGACGGTAGGTAAAACTCTACCACGAGCAAGGAGGGTAAGATGCTGTGTTTTCGACAGCACATCTGTGACTGAACGCCTACGGGTATCCAATGACATGCTCAACACCTATGAGTGTTGGTGAAGCCCCCGACAGCGCGGATCGAAGTCAACACCCGACCGTAGTGGCACGCCACCCCATTCGAGTGGCGTGTCCGCAATGCCATCTAGTGGCGCTCCATACAACTCGGCGACCAAAGCGTCACTAGAGCTTCCGCCAGATCCGGCCACACGGACAGACCGACCCAGCCAAACTGTACACTCCAACGTCCCAGTTGCTTCCTCTTCCCCGGGGTTCAAAGCCTGGCTCCTCCCCTATTGGCCCTTCCTGCCAGGGCAAGAGGGAGGCGGCGCCCTCTAACCTCAGCGACGAAGGGTGCCGTTAAGCGCCAATGGCATCACGCCTAGCTACTAGGCTCAGCGTATGCTCGCTGTCTGAGCAGAGGCGAGGGGGTCGGACCATCAGCGCTGCGGTGGGGGGGGGGGGGGGGAGCTGCCGCGAGCGTGTGCCGTAGCGGGACCGTGCTGACAGCGGCGGCGCGGCGGTGCGGTGTGTGTGTGGGGGGGGGGGGGGGGGGCGGCAGCGGCGAGCGTGCGCTGTAGCGGGACCGTGCTGGCGGCGCGAGCCGGCGCACGGGTCTGGTCTCGCAAGCTCGGCTGGCGGGCGGCGAACGGCGCGGCGCCGACTTACAATCTCGGTGGCGCGAGAGAGAAAAAGAGAGGGCGAAAGGGCGTCTGAGAGCGCCGCTCCAAGGGAACACCACCACGTCACCACCACACGCGACAGCGATGTAACATTGCGAGAACAATGGGCCTCTCAGTGACATATTGTTGAATATTATACCACTACGAGCCAGCCCCGCTGATGAGCACCTCAGCAACCGTCGTCGCAACCAATTCTGGCCACTTCACTGCAGTCAAACCGTGACATCAACAAGAGCATGCCTACAACACGCAGCAGGAAAACAACCTGACATGAAATACGCATGCGGGAAGACTGAGGCCCTCAAACAAACTAGTTCACCTGGTGAAAAGTGCATGGCGTGGCGAGTTCACGCATGGATACGGAAGTATGGAGACAAAGGCGCATTTAAATGCGCGAGTATGCGTCGATAGACGAGTGCGCATGCGGGCAGGTGCGCGTCCCACATGCTACGCGTACTCGGCTCTCGCAAACGGGTGCGCATGTGCGCGCCGTCAAATAGGCCGCGCAAGTGATCATCACCGCACGACTGCGCGTATCGCAAAGATGCGGCGATACGTGGCAGCCATATGCCTGTGATGGGAGGCCAGGGATGTGCTGGACGGTGAAAGGCCTTGTCGGGAGCGTTTCGAGAAAAGATTCGACTCAAGACCTGGGGCAAAATATCTCGAGCATTTCGCCACAGCCCCGTGCACAGGGGCGTTGACTGGAGTCCCATCTGGCCACCGCGCGTGCGCTAACCGCGCCACCACACCGGCGCGGCAGCAGCCGGCGCCGTCTCCGCACCCCAGCCGCGCCCGGCGACACTGGCGGCTCTCCACCTACCTCTTCGCCCTCGCGCGAGGCCACGCCGCGGATCTCGGTGTTCTCCTCGTTAAGCAGGATGGCCGCGATGCCGGCGAACATCTTCTTGAAGTGTTTCTGTAGGCGCGGGATGTTCTTGCTGTTGCCGATGATCTCCAGCAGGTCCTCGTCGCCGACGAAGTAGAAGCTGGAGGCGCCGGCGGGGCCCGGTCACCCGAAGGACTCGTGACCAAGGGGAGGGGGCAGCCGCGCGAGACGGTGCCGCGGCGGGACAGGGCATCCTGGGCAGCAGTGACCGCCATGAGGACAGGGATCGCGCCATAGTGGCCCGCCACGCCACGTGCACGACTACCACGCGCTGTACTCGTCAACGAACGGTAAAAAATACTGACGCACTGGAGACGGAGGTGAAGCATCATGACCACAATTATTTCCATATCGTTATCACGCCCTCATGCCCCCTCCCCCCTCCCTCTTCCGATAACCATCGACCTCTAGCGCGTCAGAACTGCACAGTCAGCGTTAACATGCTACGGCATATCTCCGCAGCAACTGAGTGTAAACACGTGATGCCAAATGAACATGTTTAGTCTCCGCTTGCGCGCAAAATCTAACTACGCCATAACTAACCGCCTAACAGTTCCATGCGACTTCCAAAGACGTTTCCGTTCGGTGGCGGCACGCCAGCGCCTCGTCTCTCACCGGGGGAAGCTGGAGCGCTCGCGCTCCAGGTACTCTCCGAGCGCCTTCTGGATCTTGCCGAGCAGGTCGGCCAGTCGCTCCAGCGAGCGCATCACGCCCTGGATGTTGAGCACGTCCAGCACCATCGGCGACTTGGTCACCTTCTTCATCAGCGTCAGGAACTCGGTACTGCGAGCGGGGCGGCGTTCTCACCGATCCCACACACCAGCACTGAGCAGGTGACAGCTCTGGACGAGGGCGGCGGTCCTCGTACAGAGCGCGTTGGAATACAGAACGTAGAGCAGGTGGGCAGACGGAGCCGGGACAGACAACGCGCTTATTGAGTCACCCACAGATTCGTCCTGCGTTAGCCACGTCGTTCTCAGCTTGAAATCATGCACAAATGTTGATTTTTTAGTCATTTTCACCACTTCAGCCAGCCGTTGTCCACCGTAACACAGCTGGTAATCAGCATCTGGCAGTCGACAACGAGCCCAGTGAATCCCACGAGGTTTCAAACGCCGCGACCCGCAGTCAAGTGACTATGAGTTGCCTTCGAACTAGCCTCAACCACGACCAACCTGATGCTGGCAAAGCGCGACGTCTCGACAGGGAGCAGGGTCTTGATGTCGGAGCTGCCGGAGAAGATGCCCTCCAGGTAGACCCAGCGCCGCTGCACCACGATCCAGACGTCGAACGTGGCATCCACGCGGTTCAGCTTCTCCTCCCAGGCCACGGCGTCCTCCTCAAACACCTGGCGGGGGGGGGGGGGGGGGCACGGAGGGTCACCTCAGGCCAGCGTCCTTACCCTGTCACACCGCAGCACCGCAGCACGGCCACGTCGGGCGACACTACACCGCCGGACTCACGTGCCCCGCAGCAACTGTGCCAACCCATCCTCGATCAGTTCTCAGCGACCGCTCCCGCGAGATCTGGATGTCAATTGTCTGTGGGGTGCGGCGAAACGCCACCGACCGCGCGCCACAACGAATATCGGGGGCTTGGTGCCGCGTGCCTCACCTTGTAGTAGGGCGATAGCTTCATGGCTGCCAGCGAGTTGATGTGCTCTTTGACCTTGGTGAAGAGGTCGTCCCAGCCGCGGATCAGCTTGCACTTGTTCTGGTAGTTGATCAACTCCAGCTGATACGTTTGCCAGCAGTCACGCACCTGACGGTCACGTGGAAAGGCGTTCACCGGTCTCGGCCGGATAAAATACCGCGGAGCCGACGGCGCCGCGCGGGCATGAGCGTCGCCTCCCCATTATTAACGGGCTATTCATTGAAACACACGCGCCAACACCGTGGAATGGCGGCATTCGAACACTACGCGCACGACAAGAACAGTTAACATGTCAAGCTTGCAAGGGTGAACGGAAATGTCCAATCGACATTTGAACAGCGAAAAAAATCAACATCAAACGATTTCATGGCTGGATAGAAAATCTTGAGACCACAAACGGAGCTGCCTAAGCCTCGTGGCTTCCGCATCCCTTCAAGTTCATCCCAGAGCTGGTGACCCAGGCGGGCGGCCTGACCTGTTTGAGGAACTCCTCGAGCGCCATCTCGCCCTGCGCCACCAGAATCACGTCCTTGACGATGTGCTCGTTCTTCTGTAGGTCCACGTCCCAGACCTGAGCCAGCGTCAGTTCGCTCAGCACCCAGCGCACGCGGAGCTGTCGCTGCAGCTGCTTCCAGTGCCGCTCCTTTAGCGCGTCCGACTTCAGCTCCACGATCAGCATGTTCACCTGCCAGCAGGGCGGAGTGTCAGTGCGGTCACCCGAGCGCCGGGCACAGGGCCAGCGATGGCATCTCAAAGCGGCGGAAGGCCACACTCCATAGTGGCGAGTGCCAGACCGCACACCTCAGCGCTGTCATACACAGACAACTCGTGCGTGCCATCTGTGACTGCATGAGCACACATGCACTGCACATGGCGTGACAAGAAACAACAAAACTGCATATAGCATAGCATACATAAACAACATACCTAGCAGCTTGCATCTAAGGAGAGCATTTTGAAAGACAAATTGACCATGGTCGGCTAAGTTCGACTGGCCACCATTGACGTAAGAACGGCCTGAGCTCGACACGCCGACGCCCCCCCCCCCCCCCCCCCCCCTCTTCCCCACCCCAGGAGTCCACTGGACGGCCTCCGCGCACCGTTCGCTCCGCCTACCTTGGCGTATCCCTGGAGCACCTTCTTGACGTACTCATAGGACGAGTACTGGCGCAGCCGGGTCGGCAGCTCCTTCAGCTGCGTCAGCAGCGCGTCCAGCTGCTGGCGCAGCTTGCGCGGCTGCACGCTCAGCCAGGGCTTCTCCTTGATCTCGTCCAGCTGCTCCCAGATCTTGCTCAGCTCGGACCAAACGCCCTGGCCACCATGCGCAGCATGTCAGCTCATCGTCGTCAAACAGCCACAACAGTGCTCAACGCTATAAAACACCACGCTCCACACATCAAAACACCTGTCGCCGAGCGGCCAGGGAACAGTGCGGCGGGCGCGGACAGACGCCGCCAACAGTTCCTCCCTCCGTGGAGCGGGCGGAGACACGTTTACGTACGATTCAGACACGGACGAAGGGTTGAAGGCAGGACCGGGCGCGGAGCAAAGATTACGAACGGCAGGTGAGGACACAGACAATCACACATCCACACCGCTCACCGGATCATTTGCAAGCTTCGCCGGATATATTAAGGCAAAACCGAACATGGGCTGAAGCGGTAGCTTCTGACACAAGGCATTGCTGCCATACCAGTGCAATTAGGAATGCTCTTGTGCCAACAAAACGTGTTGTGGCCCACCTTCAGATCGTGCAGCTCCTCGAAGGCGACGGCCAGCCGGTCGTCGGCGGCCGAGGCGACGGCGTCTCCCAGCTCCAGCGCCTCCTTGGCCCGGCTCACGTTGTCACGCTCCTCCTTGAGCCGCTGCAGGCGCGCCTCCGAGAGCTGCAGCTGCTGCAGTGCCTCCCCCGGACGGAGGTGGCCCTCGACCGGCTTCTGCTTCTCCCACTCGTCTGCGGAGGGGGGCGGGGTAGTCACACACCGACCTTTGCCCGTGTCATCATACAGGCGCCTCAAGTGGCCTGTACGGTGACAGCTTCTGGTCCTTCCACTCTTCTCCTGGCGGGAGGGTCCGGCTGCCAGCGTTTCACCAAGTGTATTAGGCGAGCAGTAACTTGAGTAAGTTTCAGAAGAACCCCCTCGGACACGGCCACTGGGCCGGCCACCGCTCGTCTCGCGGGCGGCGCCGCCACTCACTGAGGTAGTCGTTGGTGCGCGCCTCCACCACCTTGTCCTCGGCCACGATCTTCATCTGGAGGCTGGCCACCTGTGCCTGGATGCTCGAGTCCTTGCGCTTGATGATCTCGTTGAAGGCGCCCCACTCGCCCTCGATGTTATCCACGTGCAGCCAATTCTGCGGGAACTGGAATCGGTGCCGCTCCAGGATGCACTGGCCGTCCTTGTACAGCTCCACCTGGCGGCGGGTCACGACGGGTCACGCTCCGGTCACGGGGTCGCCGCCGACGCCGACTCGACGAGGGTCGACCCCCGCTCGCGACGGGCAGGCACGGCAGGACGTGCGCTGTTAGGTTGGCAGACCGATACCAATGCGGCTTGCCATAAAGCGAGAGCGTGCTTCCGGCGCCGCTCTAACCGGAACTTTACGCCGGAAGGGAAACCCACACAAGGACGCCAGCAGGCAAGCTCTACCAACATTTCGAGCCGCTTGCCCCTGTTCCATTTCACACCGAAAGCCAGTAAAAAAGCTTAAGTTGCAGTCCCCACCAAGAGTTTTTAAACTGGCCGGATGGCGCCGCCAGCCGCGCCAGCGGTACTCACCTCCTTCTCCCACTGCTTCATCTGCCGCTTCAGCGACTGGACGTAGGTGATGAAAGTGACGGCGTCGGAGGTGCTGGCCGCGTCGATGCTCTGCAGCTCCATGTCGTTGCGAGACTGCCGGACGGTGCATTGGGCAGTGCTCGTTACGCGGCAGACGCACGCAAAGGTGATAGCAGTGAGCATCCCCGATCATCTGGGCGACCGCCGATGCAGTCACAGCTCTGCTGCGACGGAACCGGAGCCAGTCCGCCAGTGTCGCAGCACTTCAGGGATGTGCTATATCTAACATGATCGTCCTTGACAGACGGCGGGATGGCCAGTGGAACAAACAGTCGGCAACAACGAACTGCTCAGAGTACTGAAGATGCTTGATGTCTACGTCACGTCTCAGCCCAACTAAACGCTTCGCTTGCCTCTCGCTCCCACCAGCTGCACATAACCTCCTTAGCCTACCGTTCCCAACACCCACGCCCCGAAGCGCTGGCCGCCGGCGGCGGAGCCTCACCTTGGAGACGGTGGCGTGGAACTTCGTCATCTGGTTGCCGAGCAGCGAACCGAACTTGCTGAGCACGTCCTTGTGGATGGCGTCGTACTTGAGCGACACCTTGGACTGCACCTTGCCGTAGTCGATGATGACGGGGCCGAAGGCGCGCCGCGTCTCAGACGTGTCGAACGTGGCGCGGCGCTTCCTGGCGGGGCGCGGCGAGGGCGCTAGGTGAGCGAACGAACGGCTTTTGGTGAACGGCGGCGAACAGGTGAACGACCACGGCCTTAGCAACGAAAAACATTCACAGCTTTCTTCGTGCCAGACAATGACAGAAGGCAACCGACACGTGAAATGGTAAACGGACGCCTACGCTTAGTGTGCCGAAAGATATTACAGCAAAGGCTCTACTGAGTCCGCGTAGAAACGGAGTATTCTGAAATGGAACATCGCACGGTGTTGGAGGATTATTCACAGCACCGCCCTCTCGGCACAAGGTGGCACCGCCAGCCGATGATCCCCGCACATGACCGCGCCTCACTTCATCTCCTCGGCGCAGGCCATCCACAAGCTGACGTCGTCTCCCAGATGGTTGAAGATCAGATCGCTGTTGAGGTCCCACAGCTTCTGGTAGGACAGCCACTCGCCGACGTAGCTGTTGATCTGCGGAGCGATGCGGCCGGAGGCGTTACGCTCGGCCCACGCTCGGGCCGGCGGCGCAACCAACCCACACAGTCCGCACACGCGTAGCTCCGCCAGCTAACGGAGCGGCCCGGTCGCCTGCCAGCGGCGGCAGGCAGGGGAGTGGCGACGCTGCAGTCGACTCCACGCAGGCACGTCTGTGCTCATACCGACACCGGTCTCTCGACCGGACCAAGGCAACGCGCTGGCACCGAGACGCCGGCTCCGTTGTCATCTGACGCAGCGACGCCGCGTGAGATGGACAAGGCAGCGTATCTGCAGTCGACACACGTGCAGAAATCAAGACCGCATGACCACCCACAAAGCATCAGGTTAGTTCGATGTTGGGACACCAATCGCCCTCCTCAGCCGTTCGCGCGCCGTCGGCGACGGTGGCGAGCAGAGCGACCGAGCTCAGGATTGCACCCGCGTCCGGCCCCCGATGCCCCGCGCAATTCCGAGCCGGGCCGGACGGGGGCGTGACCCCCCGCAGCTCGGCGAGGACCCCACCTCTCGGCGCCTCACCTGTCTGTAGATGTTCTCCATGGCCTCGTATGCGGCCGATGTGACGGACTTAAAGTCCGGCATCTTCTTCAGCAGGCCTTTGTAGCTGGTGGGCGCGTCGCTCTTGGTGACGCCGACCTGCGGGAAAGCCCGGCGGCGTCAGCACGAGCAGGTCACGGGCAGCGTAACCAGCACGCTAACGGGCAGCTGATGCTGCGGGGCTCGGCACCTGCGGGAAAGCGTGGCGGCGTCAGGACGAGAGCCTCAGCAGGTCACGGGCAGCGTAACCAGCACGCTAACGAGCAGCTCAAGCTGCGGGGGCTCGGCACCAGCAGTGGAGACAACAGACCGCTGAACCAATGTACAGGCCATTTTCAATCAATGCGTGACATTAACCACCTCCTCCACACAATCAATCAAACCACCGTAACTTGAGACGACGTGTCACCACGGGTCTGTATCGGGTGCGAGCCTCTGGCAGGCAGACACGCGCCGCCCAGCATTGATGGAACCATTCAACCATTTCACTCAAAATGGCTGGGTTCCAAAGTTTGTATGTTTGGGGTTAAGTGAACATGTGCATAATTGCAGTGCAAGCACAAAAAACCACTGCCAGTTTCATCCATTATTGGTACCACCATTATCCCCTCCAGCGAATTTAGCCGTAACTTTGCCTTCAATAATCTGAAAATGCCAGGAGCATCACTTCACTATCATGGCAAGTTCAGACCGACGGCCCACCTCACCACGGTGTACTGTATGTGGTCGTTTCCCAAACGTCGTAGTCTGCCCCGGAGACCGCCCCGCGCCGCCAATCCGCCCCGGCCGCTCCCCGGTCCCGGGCGACACGCGGCGGCGCCCCACCTGGTACCGGCGCCTCACCTGGTGCCGGCGCCTCACCTGGTGCCGGCGCCTCACCTGGTACCGGCGCCCCACCTGGTACCGGCGCCCCACCTGGTACCGGCGCCCCACCTGGTACCGGCGCCTCACCTGGTACCGGCGCCTCACCTGGTACCGGCGCCCCACCTGGTACCGGCGCCCCACCTGGTACCGGCGCCTCACCTGGTACCGGCTGGACTGGATCCGGCTCAGCGTGATGATGATGTTCTGCCAGGCGAACAGCTGCTGCAGAATCTGACTCCGCGCCTCCTGCACGGCCGGGTGCAGGTGCAGGTTGTTGTAGGTGATGCGCAGCTCGTGGACGATCTCGCTGATCTGTCGGGCGGCCGGGGGTGCGGTCAGACGCCGGCGGTGCGCGGCTGCCGCGGTGTACACTCATCAGCAGCCAGCGAGCAGCCGGCCGCCACTGGGCGCCCCGCACACTGGCGCGCACACAGCCGGACAGAGACGCGGCCGCGACACACGGCCGGCCCACGGCGCTGCAACACTCGCGACAGACAGAGAGGCGGTCAGACAGACAGTCGACGGACAGAGAGGGCCGCGACACACGGCCGATCCACGGCGCTACAACACTCGCGACAGACAGAGAGGCGGGCAGACAGACAGTCGACGGACAGAGAGGGCCGCGACACACGGCCAGCTCACGGCGCTACAACACTCGCGACAGACAGAGAGGCGGGCAGACAGACAGTCGACGGACAGAGAGGCCGCCGTCACACCACTCCACACCCTCGGCGAGCAGCGCCCCCCCCCCCCCTCATGCAGAAACACAAGCGGCCTCTGCCGTCTGCCTGCGTCGCCGGGCGACACGGCCGGCGTCGACTAGGGATCCTTGATGCGATGCCACACTCACCGCCGGCTCGCCGCCCGGCTTGCTGACGGGCACCACGGGCTCCGTGTCCATACTGGTGTCGACGTCTTCTTTCCTGCCGAGCAGGGCCGCAGTCCACGCCTGGATGCCGGCCTGGAGCCTGCCGCAGCGGAGGTCAGCGTCACCGAGAGCCGGGGTCAAGGCACGGTCAGCCCACGGACGGCGCCACCCTGATGACGCGGTACGTGGGATGGAAGGTCAGCAACAGTGGAGCTTCTTCGTCAGTAGGTGCGTGCGTGCGTGCGTGCGTGCGTGCGTGCGTGCGTGCGTGCGTGCGTGCGTGCGTGCGTGCGTGCGTGCGTGCGTGCGTGCGTGCGTGCGTGCGTGCGTGTGTGTGTGTGTGTGTGTGTGTGTGTGTGTGTGTGTGTGTGTGCGCGCGCGCGCGCGCGCGCGAGTTTGCGCTTGTGTGTGTGCGTTTGCGCTGGTGTGTGTGCGTTTGCGCTTGTGTGTGTGCGTTTGCGCTTGTGTGCGTGCGTTTGCGCTTGTGTGTGTGCGTTTGCGCTTGTGTGTGTGCTTGTGCTTGTGCTTGTGCGTGTGCTTGTGCGTGTGCTTGTGCGTGTGCGTGTGCGTGTGCTTGTGCTTGTGCGTGTGTGTGCGCGTGATACCTGTGTGATGCTATGGCCGCTCTGAACTGAGGTAGCCCCACTATCCCTGTGACTTCAGTCGTGACTCTGTGACCCTGCTGTGACCCCAGTCATGACTCTGTAGCCCATCTGTGACCTCGACCGCAACACTGTGACCCCGTGACCCCAGCCGTGGCCCTGCGACGCACCTATTGGCCAGTCGCTGCTCGATAGCCTCGTCCAGCCGGCTGACCCAGGTGCCTAGGTTGCTGTACTGGTGCAGGCTCAGGTCGTCGATGGCCTTCTGGATCTTGTTCAGGATCTCCGCGAACGTGGCGTGCGAGTACGGGCACGACTCGAGCAGCCTGCGGCGCCGGGAGGCGTTAATGCGCCGCACCCGCCGGCCAGCGGTTACACGGCCCACGTCGACACCACCCGTCACTCGTCAGTGCACGGCTTCGTCTCGACGCACCCAGCGGCTCAGCGCCATCAAAGTACCGCGCTCGCATGCCTCAGCGCCGGTGCCTACGCGGACGCCCGCCGTCCATTGTCCACTCGGTACGACCGAGCGGGCGGTGCGCATGCGCACGTACATTCAGTGCGGGCGCACGCGTTCCGCCCGCTTTGCTTCAAACTCTGCTGTTCGCGGTGAGCGGTGCACTGTGGTAACCTGGCCATCCGAATGAGTGACACGATGCCGCGCGAGGGGAGCGCAGACGGAGCACGGCGTCAACGGCAGAGTTGGCCACTGCAGCCATAGGTCACGAAAAAAACTGTCACGGATGGCCGACAAGAAATCTAAAGAGGACAGAGCAGGCGGGTGGGTGCGGCGCGGCGGCGCAAAACCGTGTACATAATCGAGCGATACCTGATGTCCATGTCGATCTGGTCTTGAATGATCAGCAGGTCGTCCACCATTTCCTGGAAGTTGAATGTGGCGTCGGCGAAGCGCTGCACGTAGGGGTCCAGCTTGTAGGACTCCCAGACCAGCTGGGTGCCCTCGGCGATCAGGCCCTGAGAGTCGCGCCGCAGCCCGGCCACCAGCAGCTGCACGCTGGGGCGATCCTCCATCTGCCGAGAGCCGGCGGTGCGTCATGGTCATAGCCAGAGCCCGCGCGCACAACGAGACGCCGGGACTGCGCAGCCATGGGAGGGTCTAGCCCCCACCCCAAACGGCTTACATGGTAGACATGCCTAACACGGTGGCCGGGAGCCCACCAGATATCCGCCGACGACTTTACAAAGGACGTGAATGGTGTCAGAGTGAGAGAGGTCACCTATCATCGACGGTAAACTGTAAGCAACCAGATAAACACCTTGAACCAGCCACCTCCCACCTAGGAACGCGGCGATGTACCCATGGCAGCGGCACATCTCACAGCCGAGTCCTCGCGGTGACGCCACCTCGAGCGCCATCTGTGCACTTCCGTCATTAAAACGCCACCAGCACAGATGTCGGCGGCGCCCAACGGCGAGCATGGAGGCCATTGGGTTCGCTACAGCGCCCGGCGCCGGTACTTGGCGCGGCCCGCGCGGGGAGCCGCCTCAACCACCCCTCGTCTCTCACCTTCTCCAGGGTGCGCTCGTACGTGCGCACGCTCTCGATCAGCGAGATGGCGAACGGGTACAGCTGGTTGGCCGTGTGCGCCTTGTTTACGATGGCGAGCGGCACACGGAAGCCCAGGCACTTGAGGTTGCGCACCTGCGGCGAACGGCCACTCAGGCGTCAGTGGGCGTCATCGTAGGCGAAGTTCAAGGTCAAGGTCGATCAGCGGTCGTCAGACGCGGCCGCGTGCTGGACGGTCATCGCGCCACGCTCGTTTATCGGCCAACAGTCAGAATCAGCCCACCGATCAGGCTTTCCACGCCAGATTCAGCCCTGACACATCACACTTCCTGAAGTTAGGCCCATGAGGAACACATCGCACGCTGATCACAATCAGCAGCAGGAGCCCTCCCCTGAACGCCCGTCAAAACGCCACTCCTTGCCACCCTTCTCCCACGCTACTCACCTCCTTGCTGAGCGTGATGATCTCGGGCAGGAAGTTGACCTTGAGCTTGAGCAGGTTGCCCTTGCCGGAGCGGCTGCGCTGGGACTCGATGGTGAAGATCCGGCCCGACACGCCCAGGTTGCGCGCCTGCACCTTCTTGGCCCAGTCGTCGAAGATCTCGGTCGTGTTCAGCTTCAGCCGGAAGCTGTCGCTGTCGCCCTTCAGCTTCTGACCCTCGACGTGGTTCTCCCAGCCCTTGCCTGTGCGAGCCAGCTGCTGTCAGGCGTGCACACGAGGCCCCGCCCGAACGCAAGTCCTGGTCAGGCCCCGCGCAGGTCGCAGACTGACTACATCAGGCGCGGCGGACTGCCCTTGACCGAGGCGGCCTCACTCCACTGACAGGCACTCAGTAGCCGTGACATGGCCCGTTTCAGAGTTCCGTCGGTGCTCTCCATGGATTTATGAATGCCAGCCCGATGAGAGTTACCCACAGTCGCAATCATCCCCCCCCCCCCCCCCCCCCCACCTCGCCCTCCTGAACTAATCCATGTGACCAGTGATAGCGTGAACCAGTCAGTGAGGAGCAAGGTTGGACTGATCCCTACCAAAACTGGCGTCAGTCGGAGCGGGGTCCACACAAGAGACCCGTGGCAGGGCCCGTACATGGCCCCATCTCCGCCCCCTCAACCCACCCAGCACATCCCCCGTTCCCCACCGCACGGCCCGCTCGACAACATTCCCCGCACACCCTTCACCGCCCCCTCCCCTCCCCTCCCCACACACACACGCACAAGGCGACCTGTCAACTCACCAAGCACATCCTCGACGCGTTTCATGTAGGTGCCGAGCTGGCGGTCGATCTGCTTGGCCCAGAGGATGGACCCGGAGACGGGCGGTATATCGCGCACCTGGCTCATGCGGCATGCCTTGCTCTGCGGATACTGCACCTTGAACTTCTCGTGCAACGACTCGATGTCCTCCTTCACACGCGTGATCAGCTGCGTCTGGTACTCGCGGATGGCGCCGCGGATGTGCGGCCGCACGAACAGCGCGTTGAAGCGCGAGAAGATGCTGGTGGGCGGAGGGACGAATCAGCGGAGTCGGCTGGGCCCCGGGCTGGGGCCGGGTGGGACGGCTCGCGGCAGCCCCGGCCAGACTCCGCGCAGGAGATCAGCAAACCGCTACCACCGCACAGATGCCAACACTATACCACACTGGCACTTATCTGTAGGAAACCGCGGCGAGACCACTCGGGAACTGGCGCGGTTATTTGGGCCAGTCATTTGGGATGCGATGGCCCAACGCAGCAACAGCCACGCAGCACTGATCTCCGCACATCAGACAGTACGGACACCAGCAGCATAATGAATCACGTCTCCATATTCACAAGCCTATCCCAGCCCTGTCCGGCGCCTAGCCCCTGACCGCGCCCGGCACGACCGCGCAGCCAGAGACCCAGCGCCGGCGCGAGCGCCGGTCGGCCGCGCCCGCCGCTCACCGGAACATCTCGTTGGCGTTCTTGGCGGTGCCGAGCTGGTCCCGGAGGCGAGCTGTGATGCGCGCCTCGACGCGGTCAATGCGCTCGTCGTAGCGGCGCAGCGCCGCCTCCCAGGCGTCGCTGCCCTCCTTCCCGATGTCGAGCGAGTCCACGTCCTTCACCTGCTCGTACGCCAGCTGCACCTCCTACCAGGCGAAGAGGCGGGGCAGGGGGAGGGGAGGCGGTCAGCGCCGGGATCAAGCCGACGCACGCAGAGGAGGGGCGGCGTCACAGGACGGCCGAGATGTGGCCGCGGTGGAACGTTGGCAGGGACACCAACTACCCTCAGACGTGAGGTACGCGAGGCTCGGCGATAGCCCATGAATTAACAGGCACGAACACACCGCATCAAACGTATTTTGCTGTGGTAAGAGCTATGACACAACGCACGACATGGTGGGCCAGCGTTATTATCACATACAACATGAAGTCACGCAGACTAAACCAGGGGACATTTAATGGTCCCATGTCATGAATTCTGCCATAAGCAGAGACTCCGCCCAGATCAACCCAACGAGCGTCGTCACCACCACGCCGACATCTCCACTCCATGGCACTCGGTTTCCTACCTCGATGGCGTTGGCGTCGGCAGCGTCCAGCGAGAGCGGCTGCGGCGTGGCCGGCGTCGGCGGCGGCGGCGCCGTGCCGCCCGCCAGGCCTGGCTCATCGGCCGGCCGCTGCACGGTCGGCCGAAGCACGCGCACGATCACCGTGCGCAGCTGCTCGTGCTGGCGACGGAACTTGCGCATCTGATCCATGCGCGCCTGCAGCCGCTTGTGCGCCGGCTGCACGCGCCACGTCATCTTCATGTGTTCTTGCTTCTTCTTCATGATGTCGCTGGCGGCAGGTTGGGCGCGCGGTCAGCCGGGGTGTGTCACGGAAACACGGCGGCAGCGGCGTCGCCGGACACGGAGGGACAACGGGAGTCGCAAGTCGGTGGTGACAGGGGTCGCAGACCGGCAACTGCGCCCACCGCTGGGGTGTTACATGTCACACATCCGACAACCAGAGACCGCTGCTTTTTTGGCCGCGTCGAACGATATCTTAAAAGGAGTGTTCCACATTTGTATTTGGTTTTGAAATGAAATGGCCCTCTTGGAGATCATGCGGTGCAGCTGACAGCCCTACTCTGCCAAAGACCTAAAACCCTCCAATTTCTGAGCTGCAAGCCCGCAAAGATGTGCAGACTTTTTCAAGGTTACCTAGGCATCCACGACGCTATGATAACGGACATTCAAACCCTGCCATTCGGCTGACCATGCTGCGTTCAAGGTTAAGAACAATAAAATTGTGGAGTCGTTCATATCTGGCATTCGTAAGGAAAATTTCTTCCTATAACGGTCATCAATTGACTCTCAACCAGTGATGTGCAAGCTATGCAAGATTCTAACACGAATCACGTTTCGTGCAATATATAACACAGAGCTATACATTCTTGCTAGCTATTACTGAAATAAGATTTGCAATCGAATAACTTGAGGGCGGCGCTATAAATGAGTTTGCGAATCCAGGTAAGCACCTTAAACTCACGGACAAAAATGCACGAACACCACGAGAAATGGTCAAAGCGCAAACAGCTAACGAAATTTGGTTCTTAGTTCAGTACACATCTAGTACCATCGCGGGCCACCTCCCGGGAGATTGAGGAAGTACAAGTGAGTGCATTCATTGAAATGTTCCCTGAAGCAATCAAGCAATGACGTGTTAAGCATATGTACTAAATACGTAAATCCTGTTGTCTAGAGCAGTCCTCTCCACTCATGAGTATACCAATAATTATAAGTGAGCTTGTTTCATCACATCTGATGCTTGCTTCAACATCTTCAAATGTGGAACATTCCCTTCAAGCAAGTGCATGACGTTTTGCAGACGGTCTCTCCACCCAACACATCAAAGAGCGATACAATATGGCAAAGTGCGCATGCCAATCTAATAGCAGTTGCGCCGAGCAGGCACCGCGCGTCCCTACTGAGGGCTGAGGCTGAAGACGCCTGCATGTGCACCAGCCCCATGCTGAGTGGGCGTGCCCGGCAGTGGGGCGCATGGTCGCCGTCACGCTCCCCGCCCACTGCTCACCGGAGCAGACCCTGCAGCTTGTCGTACTCGTCGTCCCAGCAGGTGAACACCTCGAAACACTGCGTCATCACCTTCTCGAAGTCCTCGAAGCTGGCCTGCATCATGCGCCGCGTTCCCAGGATCTGGCGACACCCGGCGCCCGGCGAAACAGGTCACAAACACGGCAAAGCACCGCTGGGCGCGTTGATGGTCTGCATAATAAAGTTTGAAGACAATAACCCCCAACCGCAATTACACACCGGACACGTTCGTATCGTGTGTCAAAAACTAAAGGCCCTTTAAACGCACTACCAGGCAACTGCATGAACACTTAAGTGAAGCAAGCACACAGTGTAAGCCAGTATGGACACTAGGATGGATGGCAATAAGTCCAACTACACAAGAGTGGGTCGCCTCACCATGTCTGCCCTCATCAGAGCTACCACCACCTCCCGCGGGTCGTCCCAAACTGGGTCGACTCACCCCCCCCCCCCCCCCCCGCTTACCTTAGCGGCCAGCCGGCGCCGCGCCGCGCCCTGGCTGGGCGGTGGCGGCGCGTCTCACCTTGAGCAGCTGGTGCATGAGATCGCGCGAGATAGCCTCGACCAGCCGCAAGGCGCGCACCAACGGGTACTTGGTGTTGCGGATCTTGCGTAGGTGGTGGAAGACGTTGCGCAGCGCGGTGCGCAGCCGGTCCAGCTCCGTGGAGGCCAGCAGCTCGTTCAGCGGGAAGTCCTTCATCAGCGGGTTGTAGTCGTTGACCGTCGCCAGCGCCTGCTTCAGACCTGCGAAGACGGCGGGACCGCTCGGTAACCATGACACGGGAGATTTTAGGGACGGCCCAAGACGCGTGACCAGTTTTGGGTTGGTAGTATGGTGGGCTATCATTAGTTCGTCACGTAATCTCAGTCAAGGAACTAAACGGAGTAAAGCTAAGTAAGGGAGCTTTGTAAGTTGACGTGTGGGATGGCTTCATCTAAGTTTTACGACAGATCACGATGTTTAGACACGTGCTTACACTAATAACTTCCGTCGTACACCAGCTCCCCAGATGAATGAACCCTTAGCTGGTTTGGATTCTGGGCGCGAATGCTAGCAGTATACTATGGAACCTCGAAGGCAAATGTACAGACAATCTGTCTTGGGTATAGAACGAAGGGTGGGAAGCAAACAGTGATTTGGTGGGATGTTCCACAATGTAACGGGTGTCACTCCACGGGTGGAGTAATCTTCCGCTCGGCGGGCCAGTCGTCTCCGTATTGTTCCAATTGAAGTCACAGGCCTGACGGCGATCCCGCCACTAGTCGTCCATAACCCACCGGTGTCGGCGTCGAAGCTGATGGTGGCGTGGAACCGCTTGCCGTGACGCAGGATGTCCAGCGTGAGCGCCACCTCCAGGCTGTCGCGCTTCTCCTGGATGCGCAGCAGCGCGCGCTCCAGATTGAGCCAGAAGCTGATCTCCTGGAGGGCGGTGCCCGAGGCGGGGTCGCGGTCCAGCCGCGTCACCTGTGCGGTGGGCATGGCATGGAGACGTCAGGGCGCCACCGGCCACACAGGCAGCCAGATGGCGCCACCACACCCCCACAGTTACACGGCCAGGACAGGGCTGCACAGGACACATATCGGGGACATGCCCACCGACGCGAACGTACTACGCGAACCATAGCCACGCATCCTGCCACTGCAGACTGCCACGCATCCTACAACCAGAGCAAATCCAGGGTAGATCCACGGAAATCGTTCAGCCCACTTGCTAATGGTGTTGGGTCTGTATCTTAGCACCGTTCCATCGCCACCAAGTTTGGAAATATCAAGTTCGCTTCTGCACATTCTCCGACGCTTCACCTTTTGTATTTCGCGGATCCAGCGATTGACCCCATTCTGCAGCTGGTTGAAGAAGCTGGAGTCGTCGAGCTTCTCGCCGAAGTCGGCCACCTGCGGCTTCCGGCCCTCGTCCGCGCATTTCTTGATCACCTGCCGAAAACAGCAGCACGCGAATGTTCGATGCCTTGGCAAAGAGCACCACCAATCTCCACGGCACTCACCCCGCCCCACCTCGCCATTCAACGGCGGCCGTGCCCTTCATAGTGACCAGGCCGTGCCAGTGCCGCCCCGACACATCACAGCGCCGAGCTCGGCCCGAGTCTGGCCTGGCCCTGCTCGGTCTCCGCCGAGGTGGGCCTGCGCCGCCCGCTGCCGCCCCGGCCGGCAGGAGGGCCTCAGCCGTCCCCGACCGGCAGGAGGGCCTCGGCCGTCCCCGACCGGCAGGAGGGCCTCAGCCATCTCCGGCCTGCAGGGGGGCCTCGGCCGTCCCTCGACCGGCAGGAGGGCCTCAGCCGTCCCCGGTCGGCAGGAGGGTCTCGGTCGTCCCGAACCGCCCCGACCGACAGACGGCGCGCCGTACCTGCGCCACCACCGGGTGGACCTGCAGCGTGATCTCCGGGATGTCGATGTTCTGCTGCAGGTGCAGCAGGCCCATTTCCAGCTCGGCGATCTTTTTCTCCACTGTCGGCGCCATCTTGTCGCCGTCCCTGGCGACCCAGTGGCGGTTAGTTTGGTGCCGCTGGTCGATGACGAGGCACCTACAGAGCGCTGACAGACGCAGGTGCGCCCAGCGATAGGAGACTCAGAGGCGCGGCTTTGGGAAGGCGCCGTTCCAGTTTGAAACATTCTCACCGATGCCAACACTTCCAGCGCAACGACTTCCAACTCCCGCTAGTAACGGGAATAAAACGATATGCCGGTATACCCCAATAAACATGCTACTCATAAGTAGTCGGGCAACAACCACGCCCATGGTCTTCACACCAACAGCTACGCCAGACCAGGTCCAGCTCACACGGTCACCACAAATAGCGCTGATCGGAGACAGCGCTCCGCTCCCAGCCGCCGGCGTCACCTCACCGGTCGCCCTTGCCCGACTCCTTGACGTAGGACTTGAAGAAGGGCGAGACGGCGCTGCTGATGAGCGTATGCAGCGTCTCGTAAGGCGATCCCTCGTTCAGCGTCGTCATCAAGCAGCTGGGTGGTGAGCGGCTTCTCGGCCTCGAGCACGGCGCCACGCTTGATCAGCACCAGGCTGCCGGCACGCCGCGGCGCGACGGGTCAGCACGACCCGGGTCACATGGCGAGCTGTTGTTGTTATCATTGGGGCTTTACGACGCACTCAGCTGCTGAGGCTACATGGCGTCGCCTGCCTCTCACCCTGACAGGAAGGGCGGGCACGGCGGGGAATCGAACCCCGTATCTCTGGTTTCCCAGACGCGCAGTGCATAACGCAGACGCGTTAACCACTGTGCTACCAGCACCCCTCACATAGTGAGCAGGCTGGGAGACAACTACGCCTCTTGTGGTCATGAGGGACAATGACAAGCAGGGACTATGTGAACGGTCGCGAGTCACGTGGTCGACAAGAACAGAGTCAGCAGCTGCGGCCGGCAGGGTCGGCGCCGACCACAAGGCCACCATCACTGCGGAGACCCTCGACACTGCCAGGTATGTAACGTCACACTTTGCAAGTGCTGTCTCATCCTCCAGGCCTCCCTCGCACCTGTTCATCTTGGCGCTGGTGAAGTGGACCTGGTTGGAGATGAGGTACTGCACCAGATCGCGGTCGTCCTCCTCCTGGCTCTCCGACTCCTCGTCGGCGTCTGCGGGTGTCACAGCACCTCTCAGCCGAGCCGAAGTCTAAACCGCTCACCAGTCACGAGCCGGGCACCGATGGTCCGGCCCGTCATCAGCCCGGCGCGCCCACGCTGGATGCTCGTGTAACAGCAATGACGCTCGAACACTCACATACAAACAGCCCCCCCCCCCCCACATAACCTTATCACCTGACCTCCGAGCTCACCCTTGTTGGAGACGCGCTCGATTAGCAGCGAGCGCGTCTGCGGATCGCCGATGAACTTCTTGATGCACTCCTGGTTGAGCCTGTCCTCGAGGGCGAGCTCCAACGAGTGCGGTAGCGTCGGCGCCTCCTCCAGCATGACGCCGACGGCGCGCCGCAGGTGGTCGGCGACGAGGCCGGCGTCGGCCAGCGCCACGGCCTCCTCGGCCGCCAGCTCGCCGCGGCTGTCGTCGGCCGCCTCCGACATCGTGACTGCAGCGCCAGATACAGGCGGCAACTGCCGGCAGCCGCACAGGGTGAGGTGCTGCTCTCAGTGGGCCAGCGTTGCAGCTGGCAGGGGACTGGGGTCTTGAGCTGTTGCTGAGCCAGTCTGTCCAGGGTGGCAGCATAAGGTGACTTGGGCGATAGGGACGCAAAAAACTGTTTTATGCTATTCTACCCTAAGCTCTGGTTCGCTGCCTGTTACTCATCACAAAGCTCAGCCAATCAATTAGCATCAAGCTGGATAGTGGTCCTATCACTACCTAGGTGCCTCAGACCTGAGCAACCAGCCTGGCAGGTCACAACCTGTCATGGTCTGGGGTCAAAGTGCTAGAGATTAGCAACTAACAAAACAATGTGTATGCCAAAGTCACTGGGAAGCCAGAAGCATGACACAATTAATTTAGGCATATTACATGCTAAAATGAATTTACACCAAGTGTGTAATATCCAGAGTATGTCATAGTTGTCAGATTGAAAATTTGTGGAGCAAGATAGAAGCTGGGTGACAGTACAAAGCACTGAACCATCAGCAAATAGATACATACATAAAGCAAACATTGAAAATTCATCCCAATCTTGTAGAATTCCAGTTGATAAAGGCAACATGGTCTAAAAAGGAAGTGACATATCTATGATGTAAGAAATAGGTCAAATAAATTGACTAAGAGCTGCCCTCACCATTTCACACCATACACATAATACTTTAGCTTTGCTGAAAACCTAATTACCTGAACTGAGCCCTTTTGCTATGAACTAGAAAAGTGAACCATTTTCCGAACTATTGTGAAGTATACATGTTACAGCTTCTTAACCACATGCCAGCAACAGCACAATCCAGGACATATTTGCTGCAGAACTACACCATACACCCTACAATATAAATACAAGCAATCATAGTTTTTTGTGTAGTCAGCACCAAATTTAGGACATAAAGAGCCAGTTTTTCAGGATGATGTGATGCTGCAAGGATCATTTTTGGCAAGAAGTCTGAAAAGCTGGTACAATTTGGTCTGACTTGACTTGTGGACAATTTTTTGCAGAATGGGCCGCTATCACCCAAAAAGACCGCACAGGCCCATGGGACATGGTTACTTCTGACCCCACATCCACAACTTCTCTTGCCAAAATGTGTGCGCTACAGGTGGCCACAGCTGAACCCATATCTTATACATTCCTGAACCTGTCAATGATCAACCCCTGGATTTCACCTTTATAATAACTATACTACGCAGCTACGGGGACCAACAAACCTTGTTAATCGTGAGAATAACGCCCCGTCTGGCACCAACTCAGAAACGGACTCAAGCACACCCTTCTATCGATCCATGACTCATCGATCCCTAACCTTCGCGGCGCCGCACCCGTCGAACAACCACACCCGGCGACACACACAAACATTTGCCGGGGCAGCGGACACCACACGAGCTCATCCTAGCCAGCATGGAAACACTGAAAGGCACTCATCTATCACTAATGAAACGCATACCGCCAAATTACAACCACCTATACGTACATTCTTAGCAAATTACAGCGGAACTGTCGCACCACACCCTCAAGCAGGCCAGCGGAGGCTTCCACTGTTGTCACAGTACGTGCTCCCAAATTCGACTAGGGCTTCCAACTATACTAAGTAAACCGACTAGAACCACCCATTCTGCCAGCAGGCTACCAAAAGCGCGTTCGGCCAATGGAAAATTATTCAATGAATAATTATCTCTCCAATAATCATCTGCGGAGGTTCTCCATTTACACTCGGCCGGTCCGAAAATTGTCCCCCAGGTTAGTCTTCCATGCGCCATCCGCAGCCAACGGTCATGGCTACGCAGGGGCGGATCCAGAGGGGGGGGGGAGAGGCCACGGGGCCATGGCCCCCCCCTGGGGCCTGAAGCGGCCCGTCTGCTCCGAGGGGGCCCCATAGCCGGCCAAAGAGATGCAGTTTTCTAAATACACAGCGCAACAAAATTGGGTACCTCTGGACTTCCAGGCGACCAAAAACACTTTAAGGGAAAGTGAAAAGTCTGTGGGAAGTAAAAAATTATTTAGTGATTGGAAAATAAGTGAACTCGAAATTTCAAGCCTCTTTTCACTATCTAGGGACCCCATGCAGCTTCCGGGAGACCTATATGCCCGCTGTCAGGATCATTAAGATCGTTAAGGAGCATTCCACGTTGCCCCTCATTTCTTTGCATTTGCTCGGAGGGCCCTGCGCTGTTGTTGGGCCCTTCCTGTTAGCGTACTGGGGCACTTTTGCATAGGCATAGGAACGTCCCAAAAAGTGGGGGAAGGGGCAAGCTCAGCGCATGCTTCAGGAACTTTTCTGGAAAACAAGCCCGATGACCGGGAGGGGAGGGGGGTAGGCACAGAGGTTATCGCACTTTATTCAAATGCGATGACTGCTATTCTTGATAGGCATCTAGAGCTGTTATTCACTGGTGCACACTCTTGCCTATCCGACTCATCTATGCCATTCGGGAAGTAAGGCTGTCCAGCTTCCTAAGATTATTCGTTCATTTCAACGTTGTCTTTCCTGAGGAGCCGAAATTCCACGAGCGGGTAGGCATTTTGGGTCATTGAGGAGTCATCTGTCTCCACAGAGTAGATGCCAAAATATGGCCTGAGCATAGGCTGGTGAGAATTTTGAAAGTAAATCGATGGCTTACAGCACAACAGATTTTGCATGCGTCTTCATTTCGCCGGCTGCTTTTCAAGACGTAAGACTTGTCGCGGCATGCTAGAGGGAAACAAATTCAGAAGCTTGAAACTGCCAAAAACCATATGACAAAAGCCATGTGACCATGTGACGAAACAATGCGACAAAAGCAAAAGGATCAGCATTGCTACCAATTGGGATGTAAAACATTTGCTGGACACCTGCAACAGCACCTTTTTCCGAATTATCTTTCCTTACACCACACCACCGCAGAAAAATGCCGCCGGGAAGCTGCCTATTTTACGTATGAATTGGTCCAGCGAACATTTAATTGCCCGTCATTCAAGGTAGATGACTTGGTCTGTTCTTGTCTTGTCTGTAAGCAAGAGGTAGCCAGAGCATTGCTAAGAGGAACACAGGATTGACAAAAGCCCCCTTTATGGTGATCCCCCCAACAAAAAATATCCCCAGATATAGGTCACTTGTTGACAAGGGATACGGTTTTCTTCGTTTCATTGATATTTTCACGTTGTAACCAGAACAGAAATCAGAAGCTACCGCGAAATCAATTGTTTACATTTTTAACACGCGCCCGGGTGGCCGGCTAGATACCCTTTGCTCGGGTGGGGGGTCAATTTGACCCCTTGAGATCTCAAGAACTAAGAGAGCTAGAGACACCAAATTCAAAAGGTGTATTGACCTGTACGCTAACTCACTTAGGTCAAAGTTTGAAGTTCCTAGGTCATGAATTTTTGGTCAAATAAGGTCAAACAAGGTCAAGTATCATTTTAGTCTCAAAAGTGCCCCAGAACCTAGAGAACCGTTTCTAAGCAAAAGGTCACATGTTGAGTTAAGGTCAGTGACCTTGTTTGACCTTTTAAAGGTCATGGTGTCCAAAATCATACAAAATTGCCCTGAGGCTTGCATTTGAATAAGCGAGGAAGATTACACAAGGCAGTATGTTTCTAAAAACAAGATGTTGACCCGGATCATTTTAGGTCAGTGGTGTATTCTGACCTCTAAGAAGTCCATAGAAGATGTAAAATACGGTTCCTGCTATCAATTAATTCGAAATGAGCACCAGTAACTATCCCATACAGCAAGCCCTAGAGTAGTAAAACAGGTTGGTTTTGACCTTGTTCTGACCTTTATACGTGACCTTAGGTCAACGTTATTTACTCATTCAATACTTGTGCTGCTTAAGAAAGCATCTCAGAGATGTATGGCTTTGTCTAACACTTCGTTGCTGCATCAGACTGAATGATTCCCCAGAAGTTGATTTCGCTGAAGCCATGGTCTGACTTTGACCTACCAAAGGTCAGAGACCTTACAAAGCACATCTAAATTTTTGATGCCAAACGATCCGCTTTCAATTGTCTACAGCTGTGCAAAACATGGCGCGGCTGCACCGCGCCATTCAGAAACCATTCTGGAAAAACCTTCCGGGGGGCGAGTCACTTTAAGGCCCACCCGAGCGCGTGTCAAGGTGAATAAACTGCAGCAGTCAGGCGTTTAACGGCCACATGAAATAAATCACTGGTGTCCCTAAGTTGAAATGGCCGAGCGGACTCTGTCTAAGCCGATAGAATTCAGAAGCTTCTTCATAATGTTTTATCTGCGTTCTACGCACATTGTGGACATTGCGAAGGTAGGTTGTAGATCGATATGTTTGATCGAAATTTGAAGGTTTTTTGATTGGTGATCGAGTGGTCAACAACGTGTATTAGCATCTCCAAGCCATGTTTGTCTGGAAATGTTCAACATTCAGTCAAAATTGATTGGTGATACAATTTATATGACGTGGTTTTTAACATGTGCGCTCGCAAATCTTAGCAATAAAACCTCGACACCAGGCGTCGCAGTCTCCATAGCCCGCCAAGCGTTAGCTCAATGGTTAACCTTTTGTCGTGGTCCACCGGCGGACGAAAATGATAACAGCTTTGAAATAATTACCTTCAAAAATTCAAATCGGTTAGTAATAAAAGTTATGCAACATAATTTTGAGCATGCGTACTCACAAATCTTAGTTTAGAAAACCCGCGCCAGGCGATGCAGTCCTCGTGGGCCGCGCAGCGTCAATTCAACAACTAATACTGAGCCGTGGCCAACGGGTGGGCGAAAATGATGACGCTTCTGAAAGAAGTACCTCTTAACGCTTCAGGACATCAAATCTTACATATACAAGGCAGTCTAGGCGCATATTTCACGTGTGCCATTTTTAGACTGATGATAAGAATTGATTGGCCTTTAAAGCACCGCGAAGTGGTGCTGGAATTTGGTGGTGGAACTGGAAGAGTAAAGGTCGATTCTCTACTTTTCATGTTTTTGTAATTATCGATCTGTCTAGAAGACAGGTTAACATGGCGCCCGCCGTCTGGTAGCACTTGCAGTGCCCGGCGCCGTTCAGTTTTACGGAAGCTACAACACAGACCATCGCTGTCCTTGCTCTCGAGGTTGCGGGCGGGCATGTTCAAACCATTTGATGCACTTTTCTCAGCAATCCATTTTGAAGAAATGAACGTTCTTAGGCAGACATGGGATGACCTTTTGGTTTTTCCAAAAAGTCATTTCGGTCTACTCTCTCCAGCAATAATGAGACCTCCACTCTACTCAACAATAATGAGGCCCCTAACTTCCTTCCAGGCAAGGGGCTTCTTGAGTAGAACCACAAGTGCACATTGCCGGTTCCGGTCAAGAGCTGAAGGGCCACTCCGTCCCATCGCGAAGCGTCCTCTGGCTGTCATTCTAGCAACACGGGGCGGGATCTCCTGGTCGATCCGCAGGCCATTGGAAGGATATGCCATATCACATTATTCCGCTCCCTGACACGGGGGCCTTCTGACATGCGCAATTGGCCTCGGATCGGCACAGGAACCCTCACTGACACATCAACATCCCTGATCGCTAAAGATGGTCCAATAATTGTCACACAGGCTCCAGTTCCGTGTTTTTCTGTTTTCTTCAGAGATATTGAAGAATCTCTAAAAGCAGATTGTAAATGAAATGGGTTCCTAAGCTTGTATTAACATGGCTAATCCATGTTCGTCTTAAAATGTTCAAGACTCAGTCAGAATTGATTACCGAGAAAAAACCATGTAACATGGTTTTGAACATACGCGCTCGCAAGCCATAGCAACAACAGCCTGAACGCCCGGCGTTGCAGTCTCCACGGACCGAGCGGCGTCGGCCCGCGGCTGTGACACTAAGCGATGGCCAATAAGCAAACGAAAAAGATGACGAAACTTGAGGAAGATGGCTGGTGAACTAGGTAAATCGGCATGCATACTGAAATGTGGTGCAAAAGTAGGCTAAACACAACCTGAATATGAAAAGTTGAGGGGGGGGGGGCAGTTAACACTGCTGGCCCCCCACCTTGAAAAGTGGTGGTGGGGGGGGGGGGGGCACGGCCCCCGCCCCTGTTCCTGCGCCCATGCACTCTTGTCAATCATGGACCATTCTAAGGATTCTTTCCATCAGCAAAAAAGGCTCTGTGCGCTGTAGCCGGGGCCTCATATCTTAATCTGTCGGGGTATTCTCGGTTGCTCAGGGGCCCTTTACATAAGTCCTGGCTAACCTACCGATACACTTGTGATGTCCTCATATGCCCTGTGCATTGGTCTAGGGCGTTTTCGATTCTCCGTCTCTTGTTTAGGACCCTACATTGTTGTCGGGGGCCCACCTGATGGCCTGCTTGGCACACTCAGTCGTTCAGGGACCGTCCACACTGGGTCTTGGGTACTTCTTTTCTGAATGGTGGCCTACGCCCTTGTGGAGGGCCTATCTGATAACCTGCTCGGGCACATTTGATCGTTTGGGAGCCCTCTATTACGGACCTTGGGCACGTGCTTTTTGAGCGGGGCCCTACGCACTTGTCGGGGGCTCCTGTTCGGCGCCCACACTGGATCGCTCGGGGGCCCTGCACA